TTACTTTAATAAAAGAAGAGAGTTAACTAATTATCTTCAAAATAATAAATATCGATAAAGACGATCTGACCCTTCAACATAATTCATTCGTGTTTATTTCTTTCATAGTTTAGACGTAATTAAACTCCCTGTTAACAAATAATCATTGTTAACTTAACGACAGACTGTTTAAGAATAATAAGGCTTCTTTTCTATTTACCCAAAATCTGCTTTAAACTAAAATTTATTTTATCTTTTGGAATTTATCGTATTGGCTGTTCACTTTTATTCCTGAATAATTGAAAAGCTGTTTCACCAGAAAATACTGTTCAGTTCTAATTATTATTAAGATTTTTGTCTACTCTATACGTTTTTAGATGTATTTTTTAGTAAGCATAAATATCATCTCTGCTCATTTTTTTATAGTCGAGTTGGCTTAAATAGTTTCAAACAGTTACATGAGATACCTGAACTTCTTTTTTTAATAATTTGGTAGCTAGCACTTTTGATGATATTGCAGAATTTTTTTTACTTCTTAGACTAACATTTTAGAGCTTTTAAATAGGATTTTTGAAGTAATCATTATGCTTTCAGTGAGTTACACTTCCATTTCTTTTTAGTTTAAAAAGGTTATAGTATATAATAGACCTTAGGAGACTTGTTCATTTTCTAATTTCTTTAGCATTCTGTATTTCTTTATTCTATAGTTATTGAATAGCTTTTGCATATATGTCTTAACGAACGTGCATTTTTTATTAATTTTTTAAAAAAAATGTGATAACAAATTCAACATGCTATAAAGAAAAAAAATTGATTTTGATAATTAATAAATACTATATTGGTTACCAGGATTTTAACTTAAAATGGAAAATTTATGCAAATCTAATTTAGTTACAGGAATTTATTCAAAGACTTTCTTAATATACTATATATTAAATAGTAAATAAAAAATACAATATTTTCATGTGGCATTTTCCAATGATTAGGCTGAGAAAAAAATAGAAAATTTGATTTTTAAAAAAACAAATATTTCTACTCAATTATTTAAAATTATTTTAAGGTAAATAGAAAATAATAAGAATTGGTAAATTAATTCTGCGGATTCCGCAATATGTTATTTATTAAAAAAAATAATAATAATAAAAATAATGCTTCAATAGCGAAACTAACATTTTATTAAATAAAATAATTAAATAACTCATTTTATTAGATATTAATTTGAGTTCAAGTTACTATAAAAATAAAAAAATATTTATGATTAAATATTCAAATATTATTAATAGATTAATAGATTTTGACAAAAACAACTAATTTATATTAATAAACGATTGGCTCAGATGTTGGATAATCCTTTTTTTTTTTGGTGATCAACCATTAATTTTCAAAATTGTAGGCAAATTTGCCTGCAAAACGTTAAGGGGATAAAAGATAAAAAAAATAAAAAATTTTATATTCTTATTCTGATATTAATAAATTATATAATTTTTATATCAAAAGTTTAAGCAATTTTAAGTTTAAAATAATGTAAGCTTTTAAAAACTTTTTTTATTAAAATTATTTCTAAGTATCTTAATACATTAATTTTTTTTAGTATTAAGAATTATAATTAAATATTTAATATAAGCAAATTTTTAGTAATAGATCTATTTGTAAAATTAAAAATTATTATGAAAAGTTTTTTTTTTAAACAAATTATTTTGTTGAAAATATTTAATTTATATACTAATTTTTATATTAATCTGATTCTTTGTATTAATTTTTAATATAATTATTGGCTAATATTTTAAAGATTATTTATTATTTAATATGAATTCAATTTAACTATTAAATAATAATAATAATAATAAATTAAATTAAATATTAATTGTTTAAATTTATATTAATTTATATGTTGTTAACGTCAGAAATCAACTTTACTATGCTAATCATCAGTGATCAATGGAATGACTATGTAATAAATCTGACGAATACTATGCTAAATGATCTGCAAAATTCATAGAATTCTTAGTATTAGAATTTACTGGATTTCATGATTCATTGGATTTTCCTATTTCTATCATTTTAATTATTATTGTTATTTTCATTATTATTATTATCTCTATTATAATTATTATCTTTATTATTATTATTATTATTATTATATTAGTATTTAAAGTTACAAATTTAGTTAGTTTATAGCATAGCAACTAGTTAGCTGTAGCAAATTAATTTTGTATAAATAAATAGCTTTTTGCTCAAGTTGTAAATTAACTTATTTACAAGTTTTAACTCTCTTATAAATTCTAAATACTTGTGAGTTTCAAGTAATAAATAAAGGAATCAACTTTGAAAAAATAATTACTTTTCTCTTTTATATATTCATCATCTAGGATTGATCGTAAACTACTATTCTAACTTATTTTTGAGTTATCACTTAGAATAAACAAATTCTTTATGTTTTCCCTAAGTCCCTAAACCTTTAAGTTCGTAAAGTTAAATAAAGTAATTCTAAGGCATTTCAGACCTGTAGAATGTGAGATTCCCTAAGGTTATAAAGTCTGATAATAAGAAATTTACTTGCTGCAGTAAATTAACTTAGTGAAATACGTGCGATAGAAAGAGAATTATTTCCAGTAACAATATAAAATTTTAAATATTATATAATAAGTCTATTTAAGATAGTAAATATATTGTTATAATATTTAAAATTTAATCAGTTTAAAATTAGTTTAAAAAGTTAAGATTTTAATTAAAAAAAATAAGAATTTAATTAAGAAAAATTTTGAAGAAAGAATAATTAATATATTAATTTTTAATATTTTATAAACCTTTTATAATATTTTTTTTTATAAGTAAAGAGAATTAGTTCTGCTTGAAAGTACACTTCCAAAAATTAAATTATTTTAATTTTTATATTTTTAAGTAATATATTAAATTTTTATTAAAAAATATTTAAAGATTCTAATTCTAAATTCTAAATTATATAATTAATAATTATTAGAATAATAATATATTAAAAGTTACTTATTTAATGATAACAAAATTATTAAATAAATTTATTAATACATAATAAAAATAATTTATTTATTTAAATAATAATAAATGTATTAACAAAATTAAAATAAAATATTATTATAAATTAAGAAATTAAAATTGATTAATTTAAAAAAAATTTTAATAAATCAAATTTTATTTAATAATTCATTAACTTTATATTCTTTGATTTTATCTTTTAAAATTAATAAGATTGAATAATTTTTTATAATATATAAGAAATAATAATTTAATTATTTTATATAAAATAACTTTTTTTAATTATTTCTTTTTTTTTTCCTATAATAAAATTAATATATCTAATTACTATGTTTAATAGTTAATTTTTTTAATATATTTAGTAACATTAATAAGATTATAAAAACAATTATATTTATTAAAATTATTAAATTCAAAATAAATTTAATAAACTTTTTTGTTTGATTACTTTTTCCGGTATTGTAAACCAATCAAGCGTTGACACTCGCTGATTGGTTAAAACATTGTGCACGTTCGGAAACAAATAACATTAAAAATTGCAAAAAATTTTTTTTGCTATACCTTCCTTCTTATTTTCACATTATGCACATTATGACATCCAAAATTTTATTAGATAGATTAGTTAAAAATTATGGAATGTTGTTCGAAAATTCAGTTAAGAATTATGATATGATTATTAAATGTGGAGACAAGTCAATTAATGAGACAATTTATGCGCATTCATTAATCTTATCTTCACAATCAACTTACTTTCAAGCTGCATTATCAAGTAATTGGATTAAAAAAGAAAATGGTAAAATTATTTTCGAAAAAGCAAATGTAACGCCTAAAATTTTTAGAATTATTCTCAAGTAGGTATTTGTATACTTTTATATATTTTAAAAAAAAATAAAGAAAATAAAAGTACCAAATATTTTTCATCCCATTTAGACACTTGTATATTGGTGAAGTGACACTCGATGAATTATATTTATTGGAATTATTAGACTTATTATCAGCTACAGATGAATTTATGCTGTCCGAATTAATGGAATTTACTGAATCATTTCTGATTTCTCTTGCTGAAACTTGGATGAAAACAAATTTTATCAAAATTCATTTACATGCCCATAAATTTACAGGATGCAAAATTCTTCAAGAGTTTTGTATAAAGAAAATTTGTGCAAATCCTGATTTGATATTTATGCCTAAGGATTATAGTAATTTAAATGAAGAAGTGTTAATTAATTTATTGAAAAGAGACGATTTAGAAATGGAAGAAATCAAATTATGGAAATATATTATTCAATGGGGAATTCATAAGTGTTCAAGTGATATTGATCATGATTCAAATTTAAATGAAACTGATGTTAGTGAATGGAATGAAACCAATTTTAAAGAGTTGTGGGAAGTTTTAAAGAATTTCATTGATTTCATTAGATTTTGTAATATCTCAGTCGAAGTATTTGAAAAAGAGGTCCAACCACTTTCAGAAATGTTTCCAAGAAAAATTTATGAAAAGATCCTTTGGAACTATATTAAACCACAGAAATTCAAAATTCTTAAAAGGGGACATCGATGGGAAACTGGTTATTGATTTGGACAGGGTACACAGACTTCTAAGGCTCCTGGTTTTTCTGATTTTTCTCGGCCATATCAACCTTCTACTACTCAACCTTTGGGTTTTGGTTCTTTTGGTTCAACATCTTAGCCTTCTCTTTTTGGTGTATCGCGATCTACATCGACGACGATGTCTGGATTTCGTTAAAACAATAATAGATAGGTTTTTTTTTTTATTATTATGTATTACAATTAAGATTTATATTAAACTTAATTATTATTAAATGAGTACAATTCGATTCAATCTCACACTTGGTAGAATCTTTGCATATTCATCGCGGACCAAGTATATTTATACTTGTTAAAAATTTTTTAATAGTTTTTGTAACTAAACAAGATTGTTTTGGTATTTTTTTTTTTCGCTTATTTCGAGTATCTGTACTGTACAATACCTACCTTCTCCTTTAATGCTAACACAAAGGCAGCTGTGGAAATGTTTCATAATATTGTCCCGTAAAACTTCAATGAGCAACAGGACATGTGAGGTTTAAAGACAGTTTCTAAAGAATCGATATCATGGAACTCTCCTAATCATGTTCTTTAAAGGTCCTGCAAAACAGCACTCAGTAAAATTTACAGTTTTTCTTATTTATGTCTCAAGAGAGGTTATTGATTACAGTTTATTATTTCTTTTCTGGTTGATCACCGCTGCTATTCACTCGATATCTCTTCATAAATCCGCAAATCATATTTCGTATTCCGCTATCTTGTATAAGATGATATGTGCATATTATCGTGGGAAAAAAATATATGAGATCTTTGAGGAAAACTTTGACGAATTATTAATTTTCATGCTAAAAAATTCGAATTAAGACATAATTTCCATCATCAGGATCAGAACGAAAGAAAGTACATATTCCTTAAACTAGTCATCGATTTGCAAGCGTTCTAATTGCATCAACAGCATTGCAGTTTCAGGATCAAATTCATTGTCAATGTCTGACTGACTCATACGATATTCCATGAAATTTGCAATTCAAGGCCATTTTTATCATAGGCTTTTTTAATCAGAAACATTCATTCAGAAAAATTCCTTGAAACTACAATCACTGTCCCAAATAAAAAATTGAAGGTGCGTCTAAGTTTTCTGATGAATTGAGGGCAAATAATAAATAATAGGCCAGTTTTTTCCAAGCGCGGATAAAGAAGCGAATTACTACTATCACTTTGACTAGAAAAATCCAATTTTCAGCGTCTTCCTTTTTGCGTCACTCAATTATCAACAAAGAAATACTCCCATGTATAAATAATGATAAGGCTAGCGAAAATAATCAGTACCTTAACATCAATGTAACATAAAGATAAAATTTTAAATATCCATTGTATAAAATTTGTTAGTTAATAATATCTTGAATAAAATTTGCGCGTAAAAAAAAAAACAGCTATAATCGTGAATGTAGCATGATCCTTTAATCAAAACGCGCTACTAGTCTTTCTAAGATATATATTATTAAAAAGAAAAATAGAGAAAAAATTTTTTTTCATAATCAAAGATCTGATTATTAAAGTTGGAAATGAATAAAATGAATAAAATGATTTGTTCTTAGGTTATTTAAATCGTTCAATAAATTTACTTTAATGTATAGAACACCATAATAAAATTAATTTTTGGGCTCTTTTTAAAAATAACTTTATTTAATTCCAAAAATTAAACCCTAATTATTTTATCATATTCATTATAAACAACTAATTTATTACAATTAATGATCTAAATTTAATTTAAAATTTTTTTCCAAAAAAAAAAAAAAATAAAAATAAAATTACGGCCTATAAGATACAATAATTAATTTTTCTCAATAAATAAATGAAACTATGTATGTTTGTAAGTTTCAGTTAGTCAATTAATCAATAAGTTCAATACACCACTATATAAAAATATATTGTTAATAAATAATTATTTCGAAAACGAGAAAAATTTTATTATGCATACCTTATCATTTTCGGTAAGCTCTCCACTATGAGCAAAGACTTCCTGCAAATTGTCACTATCAACAGTAAATGTAACATCATGACTACCCAAGGTTTCTTCCTTGTGTTTATTAGAAGTAAAATCTTGATATGTGTTTTTAAAAATCACGACATCTCGTGTTTTCAAAAATTCACCATTTTCTGATTTACTACTATGCTCAAGAATCCATGTGTAATCACTATAGTTATCGTTGGTTCCGCAGCTCACTGTATAAAAGAAAAAAAAGACTTTTACGATAAATATAAAAGCGTTGCAAGGATGAAAAGCAAATCTGCTTACCTTCAGTTAAACCAGATGCAGGAGATTTACTATCACGTTTGGTATGAATATCAAGATAAGTGTTGGAATTATTATGTTGCAAAAAGATCGTGCTATGATAAGTAAGCAACTCGGAATTATCTAAACTTCTAATCAGCCAAATAGCGTTTGAATCCTGTAAAGATTGTCCACAGAATGCCTAAAAAGAGGAACAAGAGAATGAATTTTTACCAGATAAAAAAATAATTGCAAACTAACGTAAAAAAACATTTTCAAACCATTTGACTTTTTGAACCTGTCAGATAAGACTTGTTCCAACTTGATAGGTATCTTCCGGTAGCAACATGTTTTATGGCCACGGCCGAACCATTCCGAATGAAATTAGAATATTCATTTAAAGTATTTTCAAAGCAAATCAATAGATCATTCATAGTATTAATCGTGCTATAACTTTTAATAAATTCATTTCTAAAAAAGTCATTTGGAAGTGTACGATACAAGGAACCTTTTTGTTTTTCAATGTCATTAATCTCGGCATCACGACAGAGTTTACGAAAATTCGAAATGAACAGTGCCGTATCACCACCATCACGCTCAACCTTAAATTTTAATAATTGTAATTTTCTCTTGCAAGAATTTTTAAAAATCGAAAAGGTAATATCTTCTTTCAATGCATTGACTAGACCTTCACAAGATTCAATATCTTGTTGAATTTTAATAGTTGAATCGATCATCAATTTACTAAATTTAACAATTTCAGTTTCATCCGTAATTTGTTTAAATCCACAATAAGTTATCATTTCTTTAACATATTCCTCCGGATGAGAATTTCCATTATACCTTGGACAATCCATCATCATTGTTTAAATTATTCGAAGAGGTAAATCAAATAAGCCAAAAGCGTATTTAAATAGTTTTTTTACGTTATCGATAATATCAATGATTTCATATCTGTCATATCAAATTTATATCAATTTCTTATTTAGGTCATTATTAAGTCTTGGCGCATTTCCAGATTCACATGATTATAAATCATTTTGAACAGCGGGAAAGCGTTGATCCATGTCAAATACGGGGTATTCGGAATCGCGTTTTTATTGTTACATTATCGTTATTGAATTTATTTGGAATTCATGTGATTAAATTAATCAAAATTTTCTTTTCCTATCAAAAATTTATATTATTTTTTTTTTTTTTATTAAGAAAAAGCGACAAAAATTTTTTTAAAATAAAATTATGTAATAAAAATTGCTATAGAAATACAATGTTGAGCAGCTTCAATATAGGTTGAAAAAGTTCTACTGCGCGACAGACTAAATATTGCTCGCTTGAATTTCTTTCTAGAAAGAAAATACATCCCATTGATAAATACGTCTAGAATACTAACTGTATGTATCTACCTTTGTAGCTAAAAAAAAATCCGTACTTATCGTATCAAAATCCAAAGATGTATTTTCGAATAAAAAACAATCATTGGCGCCAACTTTTAGAGCACTTTTAAATCCTCCAGTCTCATCTTCAAAATCCATCAAAAAAGGCATCCCCATTTTCTTTGATTGCTCTTTATTCTTTGCGGAAATCTACAAAAATTTAAAAAAAGATTAATCTTGAATTAATATACATGAAGGAATAAATTCAAGTACCTTTCTTTTCAAATCGTTAATCTGATCAGTGCAATAAGGAATAAAAACAATGATCTCGTTCTCTACAATTTGTTCTTTTATAACGTTGTGTTTTGTTTCCTTTTTACGAGTTGATTTATCGGATGTACTCAAAGATGAACGTATTCCATCTTTTCGCACTGATTGTAATTTTCTCACCATCTTTCAATATTTTTTTTTTTTCCCTTGAAACCTGAAAAAACATTATTTATTCACGACATTTGGTGATTACATTAGATGGCGTCATCATTTTTTTTTATGTATCACAGTAAAAATCATAGAAAACACACTTTATCTCATGGATGCGATCCTAAAATTTTTATCATGAACCCTTGATGGAAAAAAAGATTGAAGACAACTTCAATTACTATTTTAACTCTCAATATTGTTGTCGACGCTGTAGTAGTAAATAATATCTTATTTAAACATGATTGCAATATAATATTCGTAAGAATGATGAGAATTCTGCAAGTATCAAAGAATTCCTTGTTTTAAAAGAAATATTTCTATTAGACATATTGTTACTGGGATGTATCTTTCATTTATAAATTCAAATCAATATTTAGGTAACGTTATCAGTCAATCTGATTCGAGTAAATGGAATTGTAAAGATTATAATGAGAAAATTGTTTTTCATGGATATATAATTTCATTGGTAACAAGAAATCAAAGGAGGTATTAAAGTTTTAAATTTTTAATTGATGGTTATTAACCTTTTTTTAAAAAAAAAAATACAACTGACTGTGGCGAGTATGAATCTGGGTACATATATGGAAGTTGAATGATAAATTTACATTAATACGAAGCCATGATTTTAATTTATTGTACTTGTCACAAATTGTTGTCATAGAGAAAGATTTAGCGGGTATTTTTTTTATCCGTTTCCTTGTTCAAAATGATTAAAAAGGGTATGGTTTATAATCATTCAATGTGCATTGTTTCGAGCGAGCCTAAATCCGTTAACTAAATAAAGTCTGATTGATGAATAAACACAACGATTATCTTTGTGAAATTATTAGTTTTCAAATGATTTTAATGTGTTATCCACAATGGCTTTTGAAAAGAATTTAATATACTACAGCGCCACTAGTTAAATAAAATTTAAATCACGTGTGTGCAATTTCTCAATGGGCGCCATATTTTTCAGGTAAAACGTGCATATTTTTTAGGTTCATTAACCATAAAGGTCATTTTTTTTGTAATGTAATATAACTCACATGTGTGTTACCCATTGTTTAAAAACTGGATTAAAATTTCTTTTTTTCCTTTTTATTTTTTTTTTTACTCAAAAAAAAGATTCTCGTGAAAAAAAAGAAATTTTTTTGCATCTGTATGTACTAATTATCAGTAATTTGCAGAGATTTTCGGTGAACTTTGTGTTTTCACGTTAATCTTTTTTTTTCTTTTATGTTTTGTGATTTTCAAAATAATTCATTCTTTTGCATTTACGCAAAATAATGCAGACGTTTTTAAAAGGCGATGGATCGAATGCATTCTATGCCATCAACAGGTGATAAATCCCATTGTTTTTCTGTAAGAACCATTAATTTTCATGCTCGCGCAAAAAAAAAAAAAAAGTTACTGCGGTGAAAGCTGTGGTAATTATGAAAATATACAAATCAAGTAAGCTGTAATGAAAATCGGTTTGGAAATTTCCGTAACAAGATTTACTTGATTTAGATGAAAATCTTTATTTCAAAAGAACAATGCCCGAGAAAAAAAACAATTTTTTTTTCTTTTTTTTCTTTTTTTTTGGTGATGTGCGTTTATTTATGATGCGGTACCATGTTTAGATGTTACATCCATTTAATAAAAATAATAATTTTTTGTACATGATGATCAACATGTTAGACAGTTGTCCGCTGATGACAGCAGCATGCATAACCTTTCTATCAAGATTAGCCAACACGAAAGCGACACTTGTATCTATTGGTCTATTATGGTAAATGAGAAATAATTGTAAGATCCCTTTGTAAAAAAAAAAAAAAAAAAACATTTACACTATAATTAGCCTAAGCACCCTTTTTCAAAATCTTGTATAACCTGTTTCAAGAGAAAGCGCCCATTACATATGAATTTCTATATTAGTGGTGATATTCACATGAACATATTTATATTTAGTTGATTTAGTTCTCATTTTTTTAAAAATAATAATATCACGTAAATTGTGGATTGTTTTTTGAAGGGTCAATAAGAAAATGTTTATCGTTCCCGAGTGAAAATTACCCTATATAAACATTGATCTTATCTTCGCGACCCTTTTTTTTAAAAAAAATAAATAAATAATAATATTCACCTTTAAAAAGGGAGAATTTCACCTTATTTGTTTTACAACTGTGTAAATTTCTTGGAAGTTTGTGAAATAAACATTTTATCAAATCATCAATTTTTAATTTATATTAATATATATATATAATTTTTGTATATATATTGTACATCATCATCTTTTGTTTTTTACTTTCACAAACAAAAAATACAAAAAAAAAAAAACACTTTTTTTAAAAATTACATAAAAAATGGGTAACGAATTTTCTTCACATCATGAAAACGTTGACATAACGGCGAGCGCTCATAACTCGACGAGTTGTAGTTTAACAACGGCACCCTTGGTGTCATTGTGCGAACAATCGAGGATCCAATGTACAAACAATAACAACAACAATAATTCATCGAACCTTTCACCCATCAATGAAAATGTAGATATTTGCTTCATATGTTCTGATCCGATAGAAATTTATTCGCTTTCTCAATGTAATCATCGAACTTGTCATTTATGCACATTACGAACAAGAGCTTTACTTGAATCTGACAAGTGCGCATATTGTAGGGTAAGCATTCGACATAGATTCTAACGGTTAACAATCACATCTTGCGATAAAATCTTTAATTCAAACTTTAATTCCTTACCCTACAGACTCAACAAGACGAAGTTTTGTTTACACGGGATTCAAAGAGATCTTTCCAAGAACTAAAATCCTCATCAATCAGATGGATAACAATCTCTGAGATTAACATTCTATGCGAAAATACATCGATTTATCATTCGACATCTAGAATGATGGAATTTCAGTGCCCATCCAAGAATTGTAACATCATATGTAATGACTGGCATGGCTTGGTATATCACGTACGGATCGCTCATAATAAAATGTTTTGGTAAGTTTCTCTTAATAACTAAATTTTTTTTTTAAAAAAAAAAGAAGATAATCTTGCTAACCTATTGTTTTAATAATTTTTTTTAGCAATATGTGTATAGTTAATCGAAAGATATTTTCAATTGAGCATCAATTATTTACACGAGAGGAACTCATAAATCATTATAATGGCAACAACTCGACGAATTCAACGGCAGATTCTTACTTTAAAGGACATCCTTCTTGCGCGGAATGTAATATTCACTTTTTCGATTCAACCGAACTATACGATCATTATGTAATTCATCATCAATTCGTTCCCAACTCAAATTTATTACGACAATCACACACGTCCTCTCATAATGTTCAACAGCATATATTAACAAACACAACAACAAACGTTACGACACATGAACATGTTGATCGACATTTAATAGAAGCAAGTGATATTGACATACCACTGTTGATAATATTTGTGATATCAGGACTGGTTAGCGTTATTGGAAACATTACGATACCTGGGTGTCATGATTTCGAAAGATTCTTTCATTCGCTCGAAAATCTTTTTGTGACATTAATGAATTATGACGATGTTAATAACGAACAAAGTTTTGAAATCATATTGAGGAATATGGCGAGTTCATTGTATATGGTTGGGGGAAGATGCGTAATGTTGGTCATGTATTTAATGATAATATTTTGGGTGTTGAAAGGGTGGTTCTTTATAATGAGTTGGGTACTTTATGGGATGTGTTTAATGATGTTTGGAAAAATTTGTTGGGAAAATTTATCAAGGTCTTTAATCTCTCGAAATTAAAAAAAAAAAAAATCTTTTGCATTGAAACCATTATAATTTATTTGTATACAAACTTTTTTTTTTTTTGTTATATATTATTTGCAATTTTTTTTTCATCTTTTTCAATAATCATCATCATGTTTTAGCATCATAAAAAAATTATATATTTGTATTTTTACTATTACTTTTTCTTGGATTATATTAGATTTGGGGAAGATTCGAATAATTTATCATCACATTCTGAAAATAAAAAGTCAATTCTTTAAATGACTAGCCATAATACTATTGATTAGTATTAATTAGCTAGCATTTAATTTTTTTCATCATAAAAAAAACTCATCATAATCGATTTACGAGTGAATTTCTATATTTGAGATGCATTAAATAATATTAATTAAAATTTTCCATTGTGACAAAAAGAGATTATCTGCGCATCGTGGAAGTAGCGTAGCGTTTCTTTTTTTTCCCACATTGAACTTTAAATTTTTGTGATACTGGTTTAATCTTAGATGGGAACAGATCCGAGGAATTTTTTTTTTTTTAAAAAAAAAAAAAAAAAAAAAAAAAAAAAGATTCTTCAGCATGGAAAGATGATAATCGAAAATTCTCTCTTTCTATTTTTACCATTTTTGTAAGACCGAGGAAAAAAAGTAGATCGGTTGAAGAACTTTCTTTTTCTTCCCTTCTTCTTTTTTAATGGAATTCTTAGATGGATTAGTATATAACCTTATCATGCAACTTCATATCTTTAATGTGTGTAAAACATCAATATGTTAATGTCATTTGTTATTTTTGTTTATTATGGTGATTAATAATCGGACATTTAAACCAGTTTTTTAACAGGTGAGAACAATATGTAAAATTAAATCTACTATATTAAAAATTTTTTTTAAAAAAAAAAAAAAAAAAAAATTAAATTTTTTTTTTAATGAGAAAAAAAAAAAGAATTATCCATCATAAAATTTTTAAACAACCCCAAATTTACTTAAAAGAATACGGGACGATGAGCAGGTCTTAGAGAAATACGTTTTGGAGCTCTTGAATTTCTCCTGTTTCCCTCGGATTCCAATCCATGATCATGATTATGATGATTATTATTATTATTATATGATGGCATTTCGGTCCAATTCAACTCTGATGCTCGTTTTCTCGCAAATAATAACGAGACAACGTGTAACCCTACATTTATCCATCCAAACGACAAGCTTGCTATAAGCGTATTACATTGTAATTCTGCCAATTCTGCTAATTTAATTATTGAGGGATTCGTATACTCTGTACGAATTATATCACATCTTAACCCCGGTCCTGAATACCATGGATCAAAATTTGCCACTCCTAAAGAAATTTAAAAGGAAAAGGAATTAGCAAAAGGAAAGGAATTTATTTCGAAACTTTTCTTTTCTTTTCTCTTTCCATTTTTTCACCTGATGAAAACCATAATGCAAAAAGGAATCTGAGAAAAAGATATGCATTTAATTAAAGAATAACAGAACAAAATAAGCAACAAATAAGATAATAATACAAACAATTCCATTAGAACAAGTCTTAATGCATGATCCCAGAACCATCTTTGCTTTATTATATAAACACCTACAGTAAAAAAAATTTGATTTTATAATTATAATTAGAGCAAATAAAAAATAAAATGAAACAGAATAAAATCCAACACTTTACCGGTTACAATTAATGATACTCCAATTACAATAAAGTACCATATTTTAACTTGTCCATTGTATCTACAATTAAATAATATGTATGAGTTTTTAAATTACAGGTAAATTTCCCTTGTTTCAAGTTACTAACGTGATTGATTGGTCTGTTTGTAAGGTTTGTTTTTCAAAGTACATTGACTTTGTGATTTGAATTTGTGGGTATAATCTAGACTCATTTAAATCATCAACATAATTTGACCAAGCAGAAAATGATACTGTTTCTATAAATATATGTACATTATATATTTTTTCTTTTGATAAGTTGCAAGAGAATATTTAACAATCATAAATACTTACCTAATATAAGTACTATTATACAAACTATTAATTGTGATATTTTAATGCTTAAAAAATATAATGGATGCTTACTGACTTTCATTATTAATAATATCGTTCCCTTTTTTCCTTCCTTGTTTGATATATATATTTTTTTTTTTTTAACGAAAATATGTCGCAGATTTTTTTTTAATAAATATAATATAATATATTATTTTTATTTTGTTCTTTTTATAAAAAAAATTATTCTATATTTGCGACTAAAAATATTTATACAAATTCGGAGAATAAAAAAAAATCGTGACAAGTTATTTTATTTCTATAATAACGTTAACAAGTAAAGCATTAAAAAAAATAATTATTAAATAACAGCCAACATGAAATCGGCAATTACTCTAATAACTAAATAATAATGTAACAAATATTCGTTTTTCGATAGAAATTTTCATTCAAAGGCACGAGGCGTGAATAAATAAAGAGAAAATGGTCTCTTTTATCTTCCTACACTTTCTTTTAGAAAAAAAGCTCTCCAGCGCGAGAGACACATTTAGCGGTTGGAAAAGGTGCGGTGGAAAAAGGTACGAGCGAAAAAAAAAAAATTGTAACGTCTTTATATTTGGTGCAAACCCTCTCGGTATTACAACCAACAAATTGTTGTCCTGTTGTATATTGCATGATGCGTCTGGTATTATGCAGATCCCAAAACGAGGTATTTTGGTAAATGCAGACCTTTCCAAATAAATACCCAATCGAATAATTATAGCTGACCTTGCCATTTTTGGAAAATTCATCATTACTTATATTTCCGCGTGAAAACCGAAGAGTTTATTAGTTTCTTCTTCATTGCGTTAGCGTCATGGCGAGGATTTTCAGAATTTTAAAATAGAAAGTAGCAGAGGTAAAATTCTTAAATGAAAAACTAAAAAAGGACATGATGGAAGTTTTCATCGTGAAATCACAACTTTTTTTTAATCGAATGTGTGATAAACGTCATGTGATATATTACGATAATGCGCCTTCGCAACTTTTTTTATTTTGTTCAAATTAATTGTTAAACAATTACATACATTATTAATTAATGAAATTAAGAAATTAATTAATTCAAAATCTGTTCCTGCCAGTTTGATAATTAGTGAATGAGAAATGAATAAGTAAAAAGAAAATTTACAATATGTGTATAGTTACAATTAAAGGGTGTCATGAAAAAATGATTATATTACGTGATTATTATGATTAAAAGAACATGTCAAGTCGTGTTTTTAAAACACATTGAAGACAGAAAATTTTTGGTTCATGAAAATCATTATATCAGAGAATTTTAGGCATTAAGAGACTTACAAGTTTTGTAAATCAAAACTTGTTCAGGTTCATTAAGTTGAACGATCGTATTAGGACGTGGTTTATATTTATAAACCACTTCACCTAAAGCTTTAACTCTACTTTCACCTACATACATTTCCTGTCTTTTTTTCCAAAATCTCAATGCTACCAAAGTTGTCAAGGAGAAAAGAAACGCATTGATCCAACCAATTGATATGCTCATCACATTCATCTCACACTCGCGGATTCTAGCGATGGATTTAGCCGGCTCATTACAAATATATTTTTTACCTTTAAATATTGGAAAAATATTTGCGATCCCAGATATTAGCCATAATGCCATGAAAAACGCGCTGACGGTGATGTCACGTTTAAACGGACCGCCTTTATGAAGTCTTATTACATAAAATCCGCTATCCAATATGGATAGAATTATAACCATGTAATACAAAATCTTTACTCCATTAAAATATACGTCATCAGTTATCGTAGATTTTGTTCTGGGAATAAAAAAAGGAAATTAAAAAATAAATAAAAAAATATATATATCATTAAAACAAATTGCCGACAGTTTAAGACTTACATTCTAGCGTTGAAATAAGCTGAAATACTGTAACCTTGTTTTTCATAAAACTCGAGAAATGATGAGTATTCAACGATTTCTATTAATTTAGATTAATTACTTTATTAGCTTATTTCGCAAATCTTTTTTTTTTTTTACTTATTTCGCTCACCTAGAAATGCGCAAAGGACAATCAAGATGATTTGAATGATCCTCAAAACTTTAAAGGTGACATATGAATTCATATTTTTAATGATTTGAAGTTGTCGTTACGATTAAATTATAAAAAAAAGGTCTCTGAAATGTTTAAATTATGGAGAATTCGTTGAATTAACGGTTCATGTAAAAAAGTGAGGGGGAGAGAACCTTTTATTTTTTTTATAAAAAGGATCCAAAGCCTTTTTAAAAGAAAACAAAAAAGGAATTGGAAGGAATTGTGGAATCAACTAGTGTGAAAAGAAGGAAAAGGTTAATCATCCACCACGTCAAGCCCGCGAGATTTTTGTTGTAAAGGGAAATATTTTCAAAAGTAAGTCAACTCAACTCATTTAAATAAACAAAATAAATTAAAAAATTTCCCTCCAAATTCTCCAAATTCTCTTTTTTCAAGACCAAATTTGGTAGGTATGTATTACTAATTAAATTTTCCGACTAATAAAAGAGGATTACCGATCAACGTTAAAACGATTAAACTATTTCGGTATAATAAAATCACCAAAATTGTAATCCACATGTTCTCCCTTTATGGTACATAAAAAAAACAACGCTTACTATTTAAACTGTGATAATATACATTGAATGAAAGATATTTTTGGGTTCATTTTTCGACTGTTTTCATATGCGTATTGATATTACTTTTTTCAAAGTTTAAAAATCAAATGATCAAATGTATAAAATAAATTAGGACTAAGCTAGACTAAATTTGGCAAAAAGTTAAAATCATTAAATTTAATTGCATGAGTTGTAACTCTATATTAAAAAGGTGAGAAGTCAAAAAAAAAAATCGGCTTTTTTTACTTAGCGTATTCGAAAATGCGCCGCAATTTGCAAAAGCCCCAATTAGATACGGCAAAATTCAAATATTATCAAACGATGATGCAAAGTAAAAGTAAACTTGTTTCCCCAGTATAGTTAGAAATTAGTTATTTAAAACTACCTCTCACTTTTCCGATGATGAATGTATTGCAATCGATTTTGTCACAGTTTGAACCGACAAATTGTAAATGTTCACTTTTGACAAGCCATCGTAATATCACGATGGTTTGGGGCTTAAACTTTCTGCTACTCTTTATCAGTATTAATAACTTTGTCGTTGATGATTCAAAAGGAGTATTGAATTACCAAGGTATGGCATTTTTGTAAAACCATCCGGAAAAAATTGTACGAAAGAATTCGGTCGGTAATGGGTAGAACAATATGGTCGAGAAAGTTAAAATTTCATCTGATCACGGTACAAATAAAATGTATTTTGTTGAATGCTAAACTGATTTGTCATTTTGTAAATTGCCTTTACATAAATGGTATAGAAGGTCTTTCGTAAAAGTTGATCTCTGAATTCATAACTTATCCGAAAAAAGTTAACGTATACATTTAATTTATCAATTAACTGGTTTTTTGGCTTTCATTGTCCGAAAAAAATGGTTATATTTCAAGATTCATTGTCACAAAGAAAAATCTCTCTCTTATTCCTTTAATGAACATGTGAATTGTTATCGTGGGCATTTAATTAAAAGATGGAATATGTATTATTTTTACTACAAATCAAATATTTTTTAATCGGCTCGGACTTGAAGTATAAATTTCATCCTCTTCCAAAATGCGCATAATTAACCTAGATTCTGAGATATGTAAAGCCTTAAAAATTAAAAAATAAAAATGGCCTATTTTATAATTACCATTTAATAATCAAACACGTAATAAACCGGTTATTGTCGATCAATACTACTTAAAGATCTTTTGCTGCAAGTGACGCCACATCAGTAACATTTTTTTTTCTCGTTTGTGAAAAAAAATACCATCACCAAAGAGTATAAATAGAAGGAATCTATCATTCATGTAATCATTTTTTGAATATTGTAATCCGCAGTAATAGTGAAATGCTTTCATTAAGTTAACTAGAATTATTCTTACAAGGGAAAAAAGCAAAACTTCAAAATGAATAAAGAAATCATTGTTGAATCATCATCAATTGAACAACAAAACTCTAGTCCTATTCCAATTCAAAATGGAACCACCTCGAATGAAAGTATAGAAAATCATCAGCATGATCAGGTTGTAGGTTTATCAGGACAAACATTGGCTTTGATGAATGCTGATAAAGAAGAGTCAAATGAATCGGATGATGATGAAAAGAGCGAAGAGGAAATTCCACAATGGCAAAAAACTATCTTTCTTAGTGTTTTAAAAGTTCTTGGTGAAGATCAATCAACTCCACGTGCAACGCATGTAGACATGCCGCGTAAGAGACCTTATGTTCGTCGTCTACGGGACAGCGTTAATAATCCCTTGGAATGTGGTCTAAATGAACAACAATTAGCTGCACCATACGTCGAAGAAGAACTACCTGAACAACCAGAGGCTTTGAAACGTAATTCAATTGAAAGTGAGGCACCTTTATTAACTGTAGAAGAACAAGAGGCTAATTTAGAAGAACAACAGGCTTATTTAGAAGAACAACGGGCTAATTTAGAAATTGAAGGTATAACAAAATGGGTATTATACTTTTAAAAACGAAAAGGTTTTTTTTTTTATTTTACCAAATTTTAAATTCTATTTATTACGAAGGTTCAAATGTAAAGAATAGCCTTAGAGGACGTGTAAAGAAAGCTATTGCAGCACATAAATTCCAACAAGCGGTTGCAACTCTTGACAAGACTCATCTAGAGAATGCTGGTGACTTTCCATCTATATTGTTACCAATTGCAATTTCTATACCATATTTATGGGCTCGTAGGGATAGTAAAGATCGTAAAGCGGTATTGAAAATTTTCTCAATAAATAAGTTGCCATTATTTATAATAGAATATCATTTGTTAATTATTTCATCTTATCAATTCAGCCTCCTATCATATTTGAAGCTTTAAAGGTTTGATTAATTTTATTTGGAGTGTCAATCAATGAATTAAATTAATATATTGTTATTTGATATGTTACAATAGCTTGCCATCACTGATTCTCACGCTGATAAAAATATGTACAAGTTACAAACGGTTTTTCGAATTGAATTGGAATATGGTGATGTTAAATGGGTTATAAAAAGAACGGCAATTGATTTTTTAGTCCTTGATTTGAAGTTGAGAAAGAAGAATGATTTACCCGAGATTCCGACCTTACCGACCGGTATATTAGCTTGGGTCGGAACATTATTTCATAGATCTGCAACAAGACACGCAAAACAACAAGAATTAGCACTTGAAAGAAGAAAAGAATTACAATCCTATCTTATTCAATTAATAAAGGCATTAAATCGACACGTTTCTTATACTCTTAATGAATTCTTGGAACTTAGCGCGATTTCCATTACGAGAGATATGGGAATGAAGGGTAAAGAAGGTTATATAGAAAATAAAGTTGAAAAATTTAGTAGAAATCAATTTTGTTTTTGGAGGAAAAATTCTAATGAGGATTGGGAAAGAGAATGGGTGATTGTTCGCGACTCGTATCCTTTTTTTTTATTTATTTTGACTTTTATTTCTTCATATTAGCTTATGCATCCTTGATGATAGGAAAAAAAAATTGTTTTTATAGTTACATTGCATTTTGTACGCATATAAGTTCAACAACACCAGCGGACGTGTTCTTGCTAGATAAATATTTTGAATGTACTAAATTGGAAGTGCATGGATTAGACAAAGTTTTATCACGTCACGATACTATTTATATATTAAATAGTTCTCGTAAGATTGAACTTAGGAGTGAAGCTCGTACTTTAAAGGAAATTACTGAAAGTATTGATAGAGTTAAGGTGTCTTCTCCTTGGGTAAAAAAACATCGTTTCGATTCTTATGCTCCTAAAAGGGAGAATGCAAGGGTCAAGTGGTATGTTGATGGCAAAGACTATTTCCTTGCTGTTTCGCAAGCGATATTGGCTGCCAAATCTGAAATTTATATTGAAGATTGGTGGTTATCTCCTGAATTGGTGTGTGTATAGATAAAATAAAATGTAATTTTTCAATTTATTTTCGATAACATTAATTTGTTTTTGTATAGTACCTTCGTAGACCTCCTAATGAAAACGAAGAGTTTCGTTTAGATAACTTACTTAAAAAGAAAGCTGAGGAAGGTGTTATGATTTATATTGTCGTCTATAAAGAGGTGAAATTGGCTTTAACCTTGGATTCTAATCATACGAAACAATCTTTGCAATCACTTCATCCAAATATAAAAGGTTATTTATCGTTCAAGCATTTAAATTTTGATTGTATATAAGGAATATTTATTGAAATAATTTTTCGTTGATTCTAGTTCAAAGACATCCCGATCATGGACCTGAAGGAGTAATGTTTTGGGCGGTAAGTTTATAATAAAAAGATTTAGATCTAAACATACAACAATTTATGATTAATCTTATTTTTATAAAATTTCTTTTTAGCATCATGAGGTAATATTAATAATTTCAAAAATACCTATTTATTATTATTATTATATATATATGTATTTTTATCTAAACTTTTTTTATTCATTATTTAGAAAATGGTCGTAGTCGATAGTGAAATAGCATTTATTGGAGGATTAGATTTATGTTTTGGACGTTATGATACTCATGTGCATCAGTTGTCTGACTCTTTTAATGAACCCGATAATCACGCAATATGGTTAGGACAAGACTATTCCAATCCACGAATCAAGGATTTTGCAAATGGTAAATTTTTTTTTTTTTAAAAAAAAAAAAGATCAGATTAATATATTTTTTATTATTAAAAAAAAAATTAGTTGCAAATTGGCTTCTTGAGGTTGTCGATAAAAAAGTTGCTCCCCGCATGCCTTGGCACGATGTTTCTATGGGAATGGTAAATTTACTTAATATATTAACTCAATATTCAAATGTGTGATTTAAATTTTGACTTGTAAATATAATTTTTTTTCTAGGTTGGGCCTCCTGCGCGTGATGTTGCTAGACATTTTGTGCAAAGATGGAATTTCATTAAAGATGAAAAGTCCTATTCTAACCCGAAATTCCCATTTTTAACACCAAAAGGAGAATATGTTAGTACGCGGGATGAAAGTCGATTCCGTGGTACATGTGAAGTACAATTATTAAGAAGTAGTGCGGAGTGGAGTAGCGGAATTAAATTGGAAGTAAGTGGAATTGCTTGTTATTAAATTCTCAAAAGTTTTAGCAAGCGAAACTTCTATTTTATTAATTTTCGATATTACGATTTTTGAAATAGAATTCGATTTACAATGCGTATTGTCATTTGATTCGAGATGCAAAACATTTTATTTATATTGAAAATCAATTCTTCAGTGAGTCTTAAAGGATATGAATTTGGTTTATCATCTTTGTTAATTTTTACTTAATTTCTCTTGCTCTCATTATGTTTTAGTCACTTCTAGTGAAAATGATAGTAATTATGAAGTCAAAAACCGGATCGGAGAGGTATTTAATTAATTATAACCAAATTTATCTTTATAAAGATTTTTTTTTCAAATTAAATATATTATTATCTTTAACCTCTTTTTAGTCCATCTTCGAACGAGTGAAACGCGCTCATAAGAATAATGAAAAGTTCCGAATTATAGTAGTTATGCCTTTATTACCTGCGTTCGAAGCTGATTTAAGTTCCAAAGATGCAGGGACAATTCGGTAAATTATTCAATTCACATTAAAATAACAATCAAGATTGGTTCACTTTTCTAATTTACGCATTCCTTATTTAGCATGGTCATGCATTGGCAATATGTCTCAATATGTCGAGGTGGTAAATCCCTTCTCGAGAAAATTTCCGCAGCAGGAATTAACCCGGAAGATTATATATCATTTTTTGCTTTACGTGGTTACGATAAAATTCGTCATGGACACGGTAATAAAGGAAAACAAAATGGTGACATCTCAGTTGATTCATTCTCGGATGAACAACGTTCATTATTTAATGGTGGTAGAATAGGAGGAGAGCCTGCTATTCCTGCTGGCATAGTACAAACGGATCCAAAGCAACATTTTGTAACTGAGGAAGTTTATATTCATAGTAAATTAATGATTGTAGATGATAGATTTGTTATATGTGGTTCAGGTAAGATTTGAAAAAAGAGAAAAATATTTATATTTCGAATTTATCTTAACTAACATTCTCATACATGATATGATATTCTTATAGCTAATATCAATGATCGATCGCAACTTGGAAATCGTGACTCTGAAATAGCGATCGTTATCGAAGATAAGAAAAACATTTCAACGCGCATGAATGGAAAAGAGGTAAGGTTTCATTTATTTAAAAAAAAAATTTTTTAAAAAATTGATACATTTTTATTTAATTTTATTAGTATCAAGCTGCAAAATTTGCGTATACATTACGATGTTCTCTTTTCAAGGAACATTTGGGATTATGTGAACCACAAGATCATTCAACAATTACTAAAAGTTCCTTACCACCTATGAAACCAAAAGCTTTATTTGATTTATTACATGAAAGGGATCAATCCATTTCCGAAATAATAGATGACGACATGAATTATAAACTACCTAAAAAGAAACACCCAACAAAAGATGATTTGGTCGTTATGGATCCACTTTCTGATCAATTTTATAAATATTGGCAAACAACCGCGAAAACAAATTCCGAAACTTTCCGATCCGTATTTAGATGTGTTCCTGATAAAAATGGTACGTGTCGCTTTAATTGGTAGTGAACATCTCGTAAAATTTATTTAGTCTTTTTTTTTTTCCTTCCTTTCCAGTGACGAGCTGGATTGAGTATAATAATTTTGTACCTGATCCAACTAAAGTCCGTACGGGACATGTTGCGAATTCAGAAATATCTGAAGAGGTAACGCGTGAAAAATTGAATAATGTTCGTGGACATTTGGTTGAATTTCCTCTCGAATTTTTATCTAAAGAAAATTTAATGGGAAGCGTAATTCAAAATGCAGTTACACCCGTTGAAATATTTACATAAATGTATACCTTATTGTACTTTGTAAATGTTATTTTTTATTATGTATTGTATATTGTATATTAGAGTTACATGCACGAACGATGTGATTTTTTATGAAACTGCGCCATGTATGTAATAAATTATGTCATAAAATCTGATTATCACATGTTTCGGTTATTTAACTGTAAAAAGATAAAAACAGTCGTTTCAAAAAAAAAAATTTAATTTTATATTTTTCTCGCTTTTTTTTCCCCCTTGTCTTTAATTAATAAAAAATGGATCCACCAAGATATGATGGGACTACTCATCCAGATGAATGGATTAAACAAGTTAGAATATTTTGTTATTTTAAACAAATAACGGATGAACAAGAAATAGTGAAATTTTGTAAATCAATGATAAATTCAACGATAAATATTAAAAACGATTTCGAAGAAATTAATACATTTACGTCACTTTCAAATGCGTTAAGATCTCACGTAACATTTAAAATTCTTAAAGATACATGTAAAAGAAAATTACAATCGTTAAAATTTATACCAGAAATTCATGGAGGGGATACGGCAAATTTTATCTCATACTTTAATACGAAATGTTTTGATGCGGAAATCAACGATTTGGGGGAACAGAAGAAATTATTATTTTATTGTTTTTCTGATGATTACTTTCGTAAAGAGTTTAATAAACGAATTCTTGATGTTAAATCAAAAGAAATCATGTTACAATCATTTAACGAAATCGTAACCGAATATTCTAGATTAATTAAGTATGGTAGTTGTGTTGCCATAAAGCATGTTAGTACTGGAAAATATTTGGCTACTTGTAGTGAAAAGTATCTTACTGGTTCAAGAGGTCAGATAGTAAGTATTGATTGAGCCTTAGTTTTTTTCTTTTTTTTTTTTTTTTTGAAAAATTCAAAATTCATTATTTTTAGATATTTGGAACGAGTACATTACCTGAAACGAATGCGATATGGAAGCTTAATTATCCATTTGGACATAAAGCCCAAACAGATATAGAACAGTTGGTAATGTATGGAGATACGTTAAGTTTACAAAATAAATTTGCAGGGAATATGTTATGGGCGTATCCCAATTATAAATCTCCAACTTCCGGTCATGTAGGTCATGTAGAAGGTAATTCTACTAATTCATCAACTATTATTATTATTATTTTTATTATTTTTCTGTTGTAATTCTTATTAAGAAAATTTTTATTTTTTTTTTGTTTTTTACAAAAATATAATTATATATGTGCAAATAGTTAGTTGTTATTCAATGAATCAATATAATAATTGGATAATTAGGCCTGCTAGTAAAAGGTCCAAAGGCAAAGAGAATGAAAAAAGATATTTAAAATCAGAAGAGAAAGTTATTATTGAAAATGAGAATAATGAAAAGGACATGATTTTACACAGTCATGATATCAAGTATACCTTAGGTAATACCTTATATCAAGAAGTTTTTTGCCATGACAATAGAATCAATTTTAAAGATGAGGTAAGATAAAAAAAATATAGATTTTTTTTTTCAAATTATACTTGACTATTTTGTTTAATGCAATTTATTTTGTTTTGTTTATAGTGGTGTATTGAACTTCTTTTGAATCAATAAATAAAATAATTAAATTATCATTTTACTTTTTTGTTGTTGTTGAATCTAAAGGATTTAACTTGTAATTAATCAATCTAACAATAAGTTCAACACACACAAATCTAAGATAGACCTTACTTTTAATGATCATTTTACAATCGCATAAGTTCTTTGCAAAAGATCAAAAACATGCCTTACGACAAATAATCTTTAGTGTTTATATAAAAAAATTTTTTTCATTAATAATGTGAAGTTTGAGATAGATCAACCTAATAACATTCTAACTTATAAACCAAAAATTGGTAAAAAATTACATATCATATTAACGTGATACATATTTCGTTTAAAATTTGTAAAAGAAGATTGCAAGGATCAAATTGAAACGCGATTAAATTTTTCACTATGCTTAATTTACAAAATTTTCATCTTATTCGTGGCATACAAATATATATTAATTCTATGAAAGTAAATGATGGAAATCTTGAAAATTCCAAAAAGATAACATCTTATTTATTTAACGAGATAATAACGTTCTTAAAATTATTACATCTTTTAAACGAAACTTCAAACATTATATATTTGTAGATCTTGCCTTGATGTTGAAATTAATAAATTTACGTGAAACTGTTGAATCACAAAAAGCTAAAAAAAAAAAAAAAAATTCTAGTGTATACAAAGTCACGCAATCTCTCATGAGCGTTTCACCTTAATAATAACTTAAAAAAAAACTTTTACACAGTTGAATGCCTGAGTTCAGTTCATCGTATGCGAAAGGATGGTCGAAAGATTATGGCATGGGGATTTTTGCGTAAAGAAAAAGTCGAATATATTTTAAAAATGTATATATATCGAAATGCTTGGGAAATGTACTATTTCAGTAGGATAACGATATCAAGATAAAGCGTTTTTCTGACAATAATCTCGACCGAAACTTTATGGCCATTAGAGAAATACCAATAGTTTGGATGATTTGGAAATGATTTTGAGAATAATGGAATTCCATAGTAATTTAACAAATTCAATGAATAAATTTTGCTAACTTTTTTGGTATATTGATCATCCAGTTAGGCTTTTTTTTTTGTTACACTGCTTGTATGATATAAAACTCATTATTTTTCCATTTCTATTCTTTCTAAATCTCAAAATGGACCTTCCGATATATGATGGAAATATCCATCCAAATGAATGGTTAAAACAAGTACAAACATATTGTTTTCTAAAAAAAATTACAAAAGATGAAGAAATCCTTAAATTAGCAATAATGGTGATTGATTCTACAATTAAAGTTCCCGAAAACATAACTTCTTTGGATGAACTAATGAATTCATTAAAACAAGATATTTCACACTCAATCTTTAAACTACAAATGAAAAAAAAATTAAAATTATTAAATTACATTCCCGAAGCACAAGGTGGTGAAACTTCAAAATTTATTAATACATTTCGTAGACTTTGCCGTGATGCTGAAATTAATAATATACAAGAACAAAAGAAATATTTTTATGAATCACTTTCAAATAATTATTATCTTCAATCTGAATTATATAAGAAAATGGAAAATGTCAATTCAACTAGTGAATTAATTGTTGAATTTAGGAACGCTTTTATTGATGAATCAAATTTAATTAGAAATGGTTCTATTGTAACTTTAAAACACGTTTCTACAGGAAAATATTTAAGTTCAACTCAAAATTTAAATTATCAAACTGGAAGCGAGTCTCAATTGGTATGACTTTCTTTACGTTTTGTTATGTGATGTGATAAGTTTTTTATTATTAAATTAATAAATTTAGGTTTTTGTTAATGGTTTGCTTGATTCTAATGCTTTATGGAAAATCACATTTACGAGCGGAAAAGAATTAGCATCATATACCGATATTACTAATTACATGTGCTTACAACACAAAAATTCTGGAATGACTTTTGGAATTTATATACGTAGTATAAATGGTTATAGATTACATGATGATTATAAATCTCCAGTAGCTTCGCACATAGAAGGTAACAATTAGAGTTTATTATCTTATTTTCTGCAAAACGGTTAATATTAATATCTTAATTACTTTAGTAAATTGTAATACTAGTTACTACCGAAATGTTAAATGGAAGTTTAAAAATAGTAAATTAGAAAATTATCAAGGATATTTGAAATCAAATGATACCATTAACCTTAGTATAAATAATTTTAATAATCAACCAGTATTTTTGCGTAGTCATGATTTTCAATTTACTATTGGAAATGATTCTTTTCAAGAAGTTGTCTGTCATAACGAAAGATTAGGTGGCAATGATGAGGTATATATATTTTGTGTTTTTTTTACATTCTAATATAAATTAATTTTATTTTGTAAATTTAACAGTGGTGTATTGAACTGTATTATTGAATGAGCGAATTATATCCCATCACTCAATCGAAACTTTCTGTTCATAAATTAATTAAGTTTTATTTGATTTCTTTACGAATTTCATTTTTTAAAATGATTAATAAGTTTGATCACTTACCTTTGCTTGGTAATAATGCTATTTTTTTATCATATGAGAAATTATTCATGGAATAATCATATGAATAATGTACTTATGAAAGCACATACTTGATTAGCCTTTTTAATGTGTTACACAAATATAAATATAAATATTAACAGAAATAATTTATTATTTTCATTTTATCTTAATCCATGTTATAATATGCTAAAAAATTCAAGTCCATTTATAAGTTTATTAATTTTTTATTACCATTTAAATCACTTCATAGAACGAGTCATTTTGCATTTAAATCACCAGTTTAATGGATTAACATAGAGATTTATATACAATACTTCCATAAATATTGTACCTTCTTCGTTTATAATTTTAGATCATAATCATTCAACTAAAATTATCTAAATTTGAAGTCCATAATTGCATTAAATGTGTAATTCGCAAGCTTCATCGGATTCTGTTCCATTTAACAGTATCCGCACTTGAAAGCAATTCTCTATTTCTTTACAAAGAGTAGATTTATTTAAAAATAAATAACAATTTTCATCTATTGTAAAGTTTTTTTTTGTCAAGATTTATGGAGTAATAACCTCGCAACTTTCTCTGGTAATCGACTTCTATTATACTTCCTGATCTTTGATGCAAGCTGATTTATAATTTATATTTGAGTAGTCGCTTAGGTCATTAGGCTTTGATGTAATTATTTTTATATATCAAGATCAAAGATACAAGTTCGATATTTTACTAACACAAAAGAGATTAACTTGTGTTGCGGACGTTTAGACTATTTTGTTTTAATAGTGTTAGGTAAAGTCATGTCAATATTCTTTTGGACGATTTAAGGTTGCGAGTTTCGAAATTTTTGAAAATTTCATATCACCTTAGGCAGAATTTTATATCACGAAGTATATGATTAGAACAAGTTTACTTTTTCCAGTTTATTATTCATAGTTCGAGATTCTTCGAACTTTATCGAACATTCAATTGATAATTGACGAATCCTTTATTAGATCAACTGATCTTCCTTAGATCTCACGCTTGATTTTGGTTATTCAGGATCTTTCAGAAAGAATTTCCATCTGTACGCTTGTTAATTCGCTCCTTACAAATTACATTTAAATTCATGAAATACTTCGAATTTTCCTGTACCACTGGCTTGCATAATATTCTTTTGTTGTTTGAAACATCGAATGATTAAGTTTCCGAAGAATTTGAAATTAAAAAAACATTACTATCGAAATTTTTCCAAAACTTTTCTCTTTAACATTAATACTACATTTCGAACGAAGTGAAATTTTAGATTATCATATTTTAAACAGTATTCCAAAAATAGATGGAAATTGAATAAAAAGTTATTCTATAGAATTAAGTGTTACAATACAAGATGAAATAATTTATATATACTGTATTTTCCCTTAACTAATGAGCGTTCATTCTTCCTTAACGTTAGCTTTTCTTTCAAATAAGTGAGGAATCCATGTGAAGCAATATTTTTGGTACAACAACATCTTTTTTAACCAAATAAAATCTTAAAAAATGGAAACGTGAAATATAATAAGTATTTACACCACCCACACCCTGAAATTACCTCATACGAATCTTTAATTTTCGTTTGAGAGAATCAACCCTATGATATAGTTTACGTATAATTTTCGTACATTTTAGTCAGTCATTGTGCAAAAAAATAAAATTAAATAATAATAAATCAATAAAAAAATAAATCAATAAACGTACCATTACCCAGTCAGTTGGTAAAATTATTTTTAAAAATTTGCTTTTATTTCTTGTAAGTGAATCGCTCAAAAAAAAATTTTTAAACTGATTGAAAATGACAAAAAATCTATAATAATTAATGAAGTATTTGTTGAAGAGGCGGGTCGAAATGTTCAAATTAATTATTTTGCAGGCGGTTAACTACGTCAAATGATGTCATTTCCAATATAGCATTTATTCTTAATATAATCATATTCATTATAATATTGCCATGTAATAGTTTTTTACCGCTCAATCTGTATTTGTAGGTTATTTGCTATAGTGCAGGAATGGCATGTGGATAGATGTATCAAAACTGGAAAAGTACAAGCAATTTATTTATTACTATAAAATTCTTTTCTTGATAATTATACTTCTTTAGCTTTTCATTTGTTATTATTATGTTGTTCTAATTTTTTTTAAATCATTATATACAGATGATTGGTTCAGTGGCATTAACATGAGAAGAAAAAGATCATTGATTCTTTTCTGCATTTACTAGAGAATTATTTTCTAGTCTTTCTTGAAAATTACATGAATCTTTCAATATTTTGATGAAAAAATCCGAATATTTCCAGTCAGATTTGGCATGGAAGTGTTGCTTATTTATACATCTAATCCTTTAAGTTTTACTATATGGAAATTTGTAGTGTTGAGACAAGCTTGCTTAACAATTTATTTACAAAATATAAGAGTAATCTGCATATCTTGTGTTATTAAATTAGCCATTTTCCTTTTATTTTTAGTGCATATAAAAAGAACTAGTCATGAACTTAAATTTTTAATGAAGAACTAAAAAATTATATCGTATGGAATTTAAAATTATTTTTATGACATTCGAAAAGTAACTTTTATCTATAAAATTTCTTGGGATTAGCTCAGTTTCCTTATTTTCTGACGAATCTTTGAGACTAACAGTTTAAAATTTTCTAAAGTAAATGTATTCTTATTTCAGAAAGTTAATGATTCAGTGATTATCGTTATATAAAATTAGAAATACTTGTTAATCAATTTTATTTCACAATGCCTAACGAAAGAAAATGTTTTGAATTTGCTATGAAACGATCGTATAGATTTGTTGACATTTTTATTTATAAAAACTTTTTTTAATTTTTAAATTGAAATTTGAAATTAATAATAACAACAGACCTTTTGGGTTGACTCCAAGTTTATATTATAGTATTCGAAGTCTCATTTGCTTTGTTATTTGTTGGGATTAATGTTTGTATTTGCTTTTAAAATATTTTCTAACCCTTTAGTTAAAGATAACTTTATTCATAAAAATTACTAATATTTTTACAATTTATTAATACTTGTAGATATAATTTGAAAATTCATTTTTTCAGTATTTATTTTAAATGAGTGATGTCATTAAATACTTATGTTGCTTATATTTTACGATCTCAAGGCATATTTTTCTGTTTAATAAGTTCTAAGCACCACTAAAGATAATGGAAGCTTTTTTTTATTTATCTAAACTTATTTTAATAAAATAACTAAAAAAAAAAAAAAGAAATAATTCACATACCTCATCACTGCCACCTAGTCTTTCGTTATGACAGACAACTTCTTGAAAAGTATCATTTCCAATAGTAAATTGAAAATCATGACTACGTAAAAATACTTGTTGATCTTTAACATTATTTATACAAAGATTAATGGTATCATTTGATTTCAAATATCCTTGATAATTTTCTAATTTACTATTTTTAAACTTCCATTGAACATTATGGTTTGTACTTCGATTACAATTTACTAAAGTAATTAAGATATTAATATTAACCGTTTTGTAGAAAATAAAAAAAATTAAGATAATAAATTCTAATTGTTACCTTCTTTGTGCGAAGTTACTGGAGATTTAATATCATTATATAATTTATAACCATTTATACTACGTATATAAATTCCTAAAGTCTTACCAGAATTTTTGTGTTCTAAGCACATGAAATTAGCAATATCGGTATATGATGCTAATTCTTTTCCGCTTTTAAATGTGATTTTCCATAAAGCATTCGAATCAAACAAATCATTTACAAACACCTAAATTTATTAGATATTTGAATCAAAAATTTTATCTAAAATGAAAAACTTCCATAAAAGACATACCATTTGAACCTCACTTCCAGTCTTATAATTTAAATCCTTAATTGAACTTAAATATTTTCCTGTAACAACATGTTTTAAAGCTACAATAGATCCATGTCTAATTAAATTTGATTCTTCTGTAACAATTTCCTCAAATTCTTTAATTAATACATTTGTTGAATTGATTTTTTCTTTTCTTTTAGAAAGTTCATCAAATAAATAATTATTTGAAGGAAGTGATTGAATTAGGTATTTCTTTTGTTCATCAATATCGTTAATTTCGGCATTATAACATAATTGGCGAAAATTAGAAATAAATTTTGAGGTTTCACCACCTTCTATTTCAGGAATATATCTCAATAATTCTAATTTTCTTTTATTTGTATTTTTAAATAATTTTAAAGAAAATATCTTCTTTAAGTGCATTACAAAGTTTTTCAAAAGAATCAATTCCAGTTGGAAGTTTTATTGTAGCATTTACTAATGATATAGCGTAATTTATATTATCATCTGCTTTCAGTTTTTCTTTAAGATTGATATGATTTTGAAAATCATTTACCCATTCAACTGGATGTATATTTCCATCATATTTTGGAAAATTCATTTTTATTATCATAAAGCTCAAGAGAGAATTAGATTATTTATTATCGACAAAATTTAAAACGTACCGTCGCACTACATAAAAACGTATCCTTATATAATTGGATGAGCCGATCCAGGTTCTTTTTTTGAAACGTAATACACCTTTTACGCCCATAATTTTAAAATATATCAAGAAGCTGCTTTGAAATGAATCATAATTATGAGTATGCTATACATTATACGCTAGAGATAATTAATAGTAGTAAATTAGGTTAGGTTACAAAATATATATAAAAATTTTCATCTGATCTTGAACATGTTATAGCCGCAGTATTTTGAATCTTATGTCTAAGTGTAAATTTTTATTGTAAGCTTTTTCCGTCTATTTTTTAGTACTAGTAAATGAATTGCAAAAAAAAATACTTTATACATAATACTTGTATTTTTTTTAACTAATTTCAAATGAAAAAAAAAAATAATGCTTGAATTTAACTAATTGTTTTCATTAATAATATTTCGTTAATGGAATTAACTTATTTATGTTATCTTCTTTCATTATCTATCGAGTTAGTTTGTTTGCTTTATTTCTTCACGTGTTTTACAAAACTTTACTTAAAAAATTTGGTTTTACCATTCAAAGTTTAATATAGATTTATGTAATTACGTCAACTCCATTATTTATCAAGATTGAAATAATAAATTAATTTTCAAGTTAATTTTCTTGAGGTATCGTGTCAAAGATTACTCTATTCTATTCTTTAATGTTTTCTTAATTATCGTATTGGTTATTAGCTAGATATTTAATTAAATTTTATGAATTGCTCTTAAAGCATATTTCAGTAATTTTTGATCTCTCTTTTAGTTTGAATCGATGTCATGTCATTTACTACTTAAAAAATAATTAAATTAAATTTTTTTATCAATAAATAACAAAATAAGATTACTGAAACTTATATTCAACTTAATAAAATCAACTATTTTGGTAAATTTAATTATGAAATCAATAATTTGTTAAGATGCGATGTCGTTTGCTATTAAAATCGAGTTCACGAGTTATAGCAAAATACATAATCCGTTTCCGTTACCTTATATCATGAAGCATACTGTATAATTTTCATTGCTTAAATATACAATTTTCTTATTCATTAATTTATCATAATTTTTATTCTGCTCAATAAGCCCAATTCATCACTAAAAAATCAACTTAAAATTTCCAATAAATAGACAAATTCTTCAACTTAGTACTTTTGCTATGACAATAAACTTCGTGAAAAGTAACTATTGCAATAGTAAATGAATATCATGCGGACCTAAAAAAAACTTCATAAAGTGTCGTAAGGCATCAGCGCCATATTTTTTTACCAGTTCATCCGCGTTAATAATCTTCCCCGTTACGTATATAAGATATTAGATAAAATAAAAATTGTATATTATAACAAAACAAAAGTTAATGTCACATGATTACCAATAGTGACTCGCTTTCAGTTTATATCGTAAATTCTCAAATGAACTTAACTATTTTCTTGTTGCAACTTGTTATAAAGCTCGTATCAATAGCAAATATTATAAAGTGCCTAAATTATTTCATTTTTAGAATCAATTTTTTCTTTTATCATAAAAAAAAATTTCATTGGGAAATTTGAGACAATTAGAAATATTTATCTCCTTCATTCTACGTAATTTATTTCAATGATTGCACTATTCTTTATTTGAATTCTTTGAGGGATTGTCTTTTTTAATGCACTACGAAGTTTCTCAAAATATCAAGAATTTTAATAATTGGATATATGGGTCGTTTACTATTAAATTCAATTTAGAAAATAGTGAATCATATGATCCGTAACGTGATTTTAATAGCAAACAGCCCATATAATAATATTTTCTTTTTTAAAGTTAAAATGATTTGAAGATTCTTTACTAGTCTATTTTTATACGGTAATGTAATATGATGTCATGGTCGTTTGTAGATTTTATTTAGTTGATAAACGATTTGATTGACAACAAAAAAATTTTATCTACTATTGGGATAGACTATATCTACTACTCATACTCCAATAAAAAATGTCACTCCGGAAATGGACTGCGTCTGAATCGCCATAATCTATCAATCTGATATTTTGAAGTTCTAACCCATCTGGCACGATTTTTTTTAAGAGAATCCGTGCCATAAAAAAATAGCTATAAAGGAGGATGTTTGCCCTGCAATTTTGATATGATTGAATTAGGATAGTTTTCCCTTAATGCCTATTACAGAGTGACGGCTGAGACTATTTATTCTTTCGATTATTCTAAATTATTAAACTAATCCACATTTCGTCCATATCGCCAATAACGTTTTAGTTTATGTTAAAGACAATAAAAGTTAATAAAACATTTTGGATACTTCATTGCGTGGAAGGATTAACTAGATATGAATCCTGTCCCTCGCAAATTATGCTGAGCTTGTTTGAAATTCTACGCATTTATCCTTTAAAATATCCGAAATTTTTAAAATTTAATAACCTGCACATTATGTAGTGCCATCTGTACCTAAGTTATAGAGTTTATAAACTTCTATGCCAATTTATATATATATTTTACGTTATAAAATCTTTAGCAGGTTATTTAACCGGTTAAATATAACTCGGACTGGCACTTAAATTTGTTCGGAGTTAGCAAAATTTTAAAAAATCACAAATCTGCTAAATTTCGGCCGTCAGTTATTTTTTCCCCTATAAAAAATTTTTTTCGAAAAAATTCCGTGATTTAGGATTATAAATTCAGTGAAAATGAGCCCTTCACGGAAAAAACAGGAAAACAAAACACGGATACTACGACAATGGTCATAGAAATCATATTAGCAATGATCTTTTACTAAACTACTTTATCAAATATGAAAAGGAAGTCTTAATTTCGGCATTTTATTATTTCTTTAACTTTATTACAGTTTATTTTATTTTTATTATTTTATTATTTATTTGTACATAAAAGCGTAGTATATTATTTAGTATAGATATGCCTGAAATTTAATTAAAGAAATGTACAGTCCGATTATAATAAGTCTTGATTATAGACTTACGGGCTTTTAATATACAGTAACTCTAAATTGTTCTTTCAAACCTTCCTCTTGTCTTCATATAGGCTCCGCTTGTGATAACTGACTACACAATTGAATGATAATAAAAACGTCTATTTGTTGATATCCCTTGGGAAAGCCTGGTTTCGGTACAATTCCTGGTGTAACATCGGTTAATAAAACGGTAAAAAATTAACTGTTCCAGCCTATATTAAGTTATATTATATTAAAATAATAATATTTAATTCTTTTAAATAATTCACCAGATTTATAGTTGTCGCCGATTTTCTATTCTCGGCGTATAGAAGGGCCACTATGAGGGATCATTCATCATACAAAACCTAATAAATTATAGACGATTAAAACATATATATTTTACGTTTCCAATGTTTGCATTGAATTATTATAAGTTCCGTAAATTTTGACTTGTGATTAATAACTCCGTCGCATGGACCTCTGTAAAATAAATAAAAAAAATAAAACAAAAACATATTAAGCATTAGTGCCATGATAATCAGTAATAAAGTAGTGCATTCAGTGCATTTACAGTCGTGTGTTTCTTTACTTTCGATTAGTTGATTGTTTATTCTATTCATCACTTGAGCGGAGATGTTACCCATAATATATCCGTGATTTACTCGTCAAGAGTCACACTTCCATTAAGGAAAAAAGGGATATATTCACTTTTTCTATAGTCATTTCTATCTCTCGCAAAGTGTGTTTGCTCATCCACTTTGCTTTCCATCCCAAATTTTCGCAAACAGCTAGAGGTTTTTTTTATTGTTTCTTCGTACAAATTAAAGGAACTGCTAATTAGATATATTCTTCAGGGAAGTTTAATTTATATAGGTACGAAGTACTGCCAAGTTAAGCTCTTATAGCAAATGTTTAAAAAATGAGAATTTGTTTAATATTTTCGGCAAAATTCATGAGTAAAATTTATTGTAAATTGTAAATATATAATTAAAATTATTTATGCTCAAAATGAAATTTATTATTATTTAAATTTTTTTTTTTTTTTTTTTTTTGTGATAAATTCAAAAATGTGCACAATCAAATTATTTAATACTTATTTAGTGAATTTAAAAAAAAAAAATTTTTTGAATACATATACGTTAGTTAAATTTTACCCTATAACAAACATCATCGTATCATATTTATTAATTTAGATAGTCAAGAGTTCAACAAGAATATTTTGTTATTACCTTTTGCCGAGTTTTTAATTAAATTACGTAATCTCTTATACAGTTGTCCGGTCAAAAATTAACGTACTTAATTTACCATACCATAACTAAATTAATGATAGAGAAATTAACGGGTATGTAATGCTCTTTTATTAAAAAAAAATTGAGATTTAATAAATTTGACAACCACATCAAATAAATAATATTTTAAGAAATTGTTTTAAAAATTTCGTAAATGGAATTAACCCATTATTTTGTGAGTTTTTTTGCCTTAGAAATAAAAATCCTCGAATCCTTTTAACATTACATTTTATTATATTTTTAGGCACCTTGAAAATATTTTTTTATTTATGTCATTTTGCTGTCTTAGTTTAGTTCAAATAAATATTTTGATAAAAAAATAATTTTTTTTTATCGCTATAAAAACAATGAATGAATGTATTTTTATTTTTTTAAAAAAATCATTGTGACCCAATTTATTGTTAATTCTCATCCATAATATCATTTAAGGACTGCACAACTTCTAAAAATTATTAATTTACTATTAAAAGTTATTCGAAAAAGAGTAACCTTCTGATATATTGGATTATTGGCAAATTTTAATAGATAGTTTTGTCAGTTTAATAAGTTTTAAACTTGAATTATACAAGCTTACATTGTTGAAGTCAATTTGTAACCAGGTAAAATTTTTTTTTACTTAAGAAATTATAAATAATAAATTTCAAAAGTATGTATAAATTCTTAACTATTTAAGTTCTGCTTAACAATTTCAATACACCACTATAAGAAATAAACCTTTTTCAGTTATCTTAAATTTTTTAATAAGTCTAAAAACAATACTTAACCAACATACCTCATCATTGCCCCCTAGTCTTTCGTTATGACAAACAACTTCTTGATAAGAATCATTTCCAATAGTAAATTGAAAATCATGACTACGTAAAAATACTTGTTGAACATTATATCTATTAGTAAAACTAAGATTAATAATATCATTTGATTTCAAATAACCTTGATAATTTTCTAATTTACTATGATTAAACTTCCAATTTTCTTGTGAAGAACAACATACTAAATTAAATAAAATATCAATATTAGCCATTTTAAAATATTAGATAAGAATAATAAAAAATAATGACTACCTTCATTGTGCCGAGTTACCGGAGATTTATAGTAACCAGGATACATTCCAAGAAAGTTGCTAGAACTTTTGTGTTGTAAATAAATATAAGTATCGGAGTATGAAGCTAATTCTGTACCGCTCGTAAATGTGATATTCCATAAAGCATCCGAATTTAACAAATCATTTACAAAAACCTAAATTTATTAAATTTAATAATAAAAAACTTATCACATCACATAACAAACGTAAAGAAAGTCATACCAATTGAAACATGCTTCCAGTTTGATATTTTAAATTTTTAATTGAACTTAAATATTTTCCCGTGGCAACATGTTTTAAAGCTACAATAGATCCATTTCTAATTAAAATTGACTCATCCATGACAATCTCCTCAAATTCTTTAATTAATTCAGTTAAAGAATTAATTCTTTCCGTTTTCTTAAAAAATTCCGTTAAAAAATAATCATTTGGAAGTGATTGAATTAGGTATATCTTTTGTTCCTCGATATTGTTAATTTCCGCATTATAACATAATTTGCGAAAATTCGAAATAAATTTTGAAGTTTCGCCACCTTCCCTTTCAGTAATATATTTTAATGATTGAAACTTTCTTTTATTTGTATTTTTGAATACCGTAAATGAAATGTCATCTTTAAGTGCATCACGAAGTCTTTCAAAAGAATCATTTTCATCTGTTTCATCTGGGAGGTTGATAATAGGATCTACTAATTGTTTTGCATAAGTTACATCAACTTTAAGATTATTACGTTGAAGGCCACTTTGAATATCATTTATCCATTCATCTGGATGAATATTCCCATCATATTTTGGAAGATACATTTTTATTAAAAAAAGTTAAAGGAGTACAGTAATTGTTTGAGTATTTCCGAACATTATATCTTACCAAATGTAGAAACAATAGGATCAGCATTCTATTGTATGGACGTGTGATAAAGAGGGAATAAAAAAATAACATTAATTAATATTTTACTAATATTATGCAATTCCATAATCACAAGGCGTGTATGTACCTGACTGCAAACATCACTTCAATTGGATTATGTTTACTGATCTCAAATACTTTAAAATTCAGAAGGTCATGTAAATCGTTTCATTAAAGGTGTATATATCAGTTTGTCTTTTTCCTTGATGCTTAGAGAAAATCAACAAAAAATCATCGCCAGAAACCACAGTAATTTTATTTGCGTGTTTGACCTTCGATTTTAAACCAGATAGTTTTAGTGGGTCTTTTTGAGTTACGAGAAGAAAATTAGTAACGACCGCTCTTGTAGAAAGAAAGTTTGACTCGTACTACAAGTCCAAAATGGGATATAAGAATCAATGCTTTTATATCATTTCCACATATTTCTGTTTATTATCAAAACTAATTATTTTAGATACCAAATCGTTCACAAAATAAAAAAGAAATAATAACTAAAAAGAAATTGACCTTTTATAAATTTATTGTAAAAATAACTATAATACGAGTTTAACTTCGTAATTATATATTTAAAATCATGAATAGCTTGTACTGATCCTAATAAATTATACTGGTACTTAATAAGCTATATTTTACTATGAATAATGTTTATCTTATTAAAAAGTAAAAAAACTGCATCTTCAAAAGTGATAATATTAAAGTTTATAATTGGAATTCAAGAAAAGTGGAAACTTTTTAAAAAATACTTTTCAATTGTATTTTTCGATTTATAAAATAAAGAAAGTTTCTCGTATTATTGTTTTGTTTGGTATTTAAATGATCAACCCACGTGTTATTAAAAAATTGCGGAAATCGATTGCGGTAATTAATTGATATACGTTCTCTCTTTTTTGCCGTAACAAGCCTGAATGTAGATTCTGGCTAATCTTATAGTCAATACCCTTTATATTCTTGTTTTTTTTGCCTCATATTCGGATTGACTAGTGCATTTGTTTAATTCGACTTATATTTTTTCGATTATGATTAATGCACAAATGTTTTATAAGAAAATTAAAATATAAAACATAAAAAAAAAATTTAATATCAAATGATTTTATTAATCTTAATGAGTAATGTATAGATGTACATTTTTATTCACATATATTTGAAAGGATGCAGAATTATCTTCAGCAAAGTTTTAAAGCTCAATGTATTAATTACGTTATTTGTTGCATATTATTGATAAAATTAATGTATCAATCTTACGTCTTACGGCGGACTAGAGTTATTAAATTTTTGTTTGAATATAATAAATAAGCTTAATGCACACCAAGGAAATAAAATTATATTTAAATAAAATAATAAGATGGATAATAGTAAATAAATATCAATTTACATGCCACATCATTCCTCCTAGTCTTTCGTTATGACAAGCGATTTCTTGAGAAGTGTCATTTCAATTTGTATATTGAAAATCATGACTACGTAAACTATAACATATAATGCTAACATGGTTTTCAAATATCCTTGATAATTTTCTAATTTACTATTATTATATTAGACTTCCATTGAATATTTCGGTAATAATTTTAATCACAATTACTAAAAAGATAATATTATTTAGCCGGTTTGTAGGATACAAAAGAATTAAGATAATAACCACTACAGTAATGGCCTTTATACCGGAGATCTAAAACTGTCTCAACATTTGCCCGCAACCCTTCTTATTTCAAATTAACAGTAGCTTTTATATCAACAATAAATAAAACACCAGTTAAATCACTTGTCTTTAAATAAATAAAAAACCTTTGTTTGGTTTAAATGGTTTATTCGTAAGAATTATTATATAAAAAATAAATTTATTTGCTTATTAATTTGTTGTATAAAAAAGGAATGATATTTTATAGTTCTTGCTTAATAAGTTTAATGCACCACTAAAGAAATAAATTATATTTAATAAAATAATATTAATATTAATTCATAAAAATAAATAATATTAATGGTTCACCGCATACCTCATCATTGCCATCAAGTCTTTCGCTATGACAAGCAACTTCCTGAAAAGTGTCATTTCCAATAGTAAAATTAAAATCATGACTACGTAAAAATAATTGTTGATTATACCTATTAATGACACTAATATTAATAATATCATTTGATTTAAAATATCCTTGATCATTTTCTAATTTACTAATATTGAACTTCCATAGATCTTGTGAATAACAGCATACTAAAAAGAATAAATATCATTAATTGACTTTTTAAAAAAGTTGATTGAAATAAAAAAATAAATACTACCTTCCGTGTGCTCAGTTACTGGAGATTGATTATCAATATATCTATTATAAAAAATTCCAAGAAAATTGCTAGAACTTTTGTGTTGTAAATAAATATAAGTATCGGAATATGAAGCTAATTCTCTACCGCTCGTAAATGTGATATTCCATAAAGCATCCGAATTTAACAAATCATTTACAAAAACCTAAATTTTTTAAATTTTTTTAAAGTTTAATTATAAAAACACATTTATCTAATGTAATAAACATCAATAAGAAAACGTACTAATTGAGCCTTGCTTCCAGTCGTATAGTTTAATCCACGAATTGAACTTAAATATTTTCCTGTAGTAACATGTTTTAAAGCTATAGTAGATCCTTTTCTAATTAAATTTGATTCATTAATAAAAATATTTTTATCAAATTTTTCAATTAATTCGTTTGTTGATTTGATATTTTTCATTTTCTTATAAAATTCATTCGAAATATAATCATTTCGAAGTGTTAAATAAAAATAATTCTTTTGTTCTTCTATATCATTAATCTCAGCATTATAACATAATTTGCGAAAATTCGAAATAAATTTTGAAGTTTCGCCGACTTCACTTTCAGGAATGAATTTTAATAATTGTAATTTTCTTTGATTTGTATTTTTGAATATTGTAAAAGAAATGTCATCCTTAAGTGCTTTACGAAGTTTTTCAAAATCATCAATACCAGTTGGGAGTTTGATAATAGGATCTACTAAGGATATAGCATAATCTAAATAATCATCTGCATCGAGTTTTTTTTTAAGATTGAAATAATTTTGAAAGTCATTTATCCATTCATCCGGATGAATATTCCCATCATATTTTGGAGGACTCATTTTTTGTTAATTTAATAATATGGGTAATTTTCAATTTTTCGAACCATTTATAGTCATTTCACCATATTAAGTGTAGAAACAATAAAAAAAACTATTTTGATGATGATCATGTGACAATTTATATAATCATAATGACCAAATATCGAATCATGTTACGCCATCCAGAACATTTAGAACATTCCAGATTATCATTTTACAATTTTATATCTATCTATAATTTATCTAAGTTGTACTTTACGAGTTTTGCATGTTCAATTATGACTAAAAAATATAGTTTTAATATAATATATATCCTGAAGGAATATTTTTAATCAAAGAACAAATTAAACATGATTTATTTACAAGGGTAGTTTTTAAATAATTAATTGGCGATTTGGGCTTATTTCCGAGAATCGATTGATTCACCTAATATAGCTACGCCTATTTACAAAAAATATCATATGTTAAATATAATAATAATAATATGGGGCCTTTGCAATAGAAATATAGAAAGGGAAAACAGCTAGGAAAAATCAATTTTACTTTTATATGCCAAATATGATTTTCAGGTTGAAAATGTTCATATTTAGCATTAACTCATTTTTTATTTTTTCGGCAGTTTCCCCCCTTTCTATTGAAAAGACTCCATATGTTCTAGATATGTTAGGTTTGAATTGTAGGGGTTAAGCCAAGGGTTAAATAAATCAGTAGTGATTTAACAGTTGATGACGAATATCTATTAATTATTTTAGAAGGTTTTGTGAAATGTTATTTTGTTCTTGAATTAGCGTGCTGAATTAAAAAATTAAATGCATTATAATAAATACGACCTTTATGCTTAAATCGAGTAACTCCAAGAAACTTATCAGAATCTTTGTGTTGTAATTTTTTTTTATAGTAGTGTCGGTGTACGAAGCTACTTCTTTTCCGCTCGTAAATTATATTTTCCATAAAGCATTCGAGTCATAATTACTAGCAAAGCCTATATTTATTAATAAAGATAATTATAAATCTAACTAGCATAAAAAAAATAAGGTTATTTTAGTTATAAAAAAGACTTACCAATTGAGAAACGGTTCCAGTCTAATAACCCAAATTATTGATTGAACTTAAATTTTTCCTGTAGCTACGTGTTTAAACTTATAATTGAACCGTTTGTAAATAAATTTGATACATCCATGGCAATTTCCTCAAATTCTGTAATCATTTCATTTATAGAATTAATTTTTTGTTTATCTTAAAAAATTCAGTTATGAAATAATTATTAAGAAGTGATTGATTAATGTACTCCTTTAGTTCCGCAAGATCGTTAACTTCAGACTTATAATATAATTTGTGATAATTTGAAATAAATTTTGAAGTTTCGCCACCTTCTCTTTCAGGAATACATTTTAACGATTTCAATTTTCTTTTATGAATATTGTAAAAGAAATGTCATCTTTTAGTGCGTTACAAAGTTTTTCAAAATCATCAATTCCAGTTGGAATTTTGATAATAAGACTAGGAATATAGCATAATCTAAATCATCAGTATCGAAATTTTTTTAAGGTTGAAATTAACCCATTCATCTTGATGAATATTCACATCATATTTTGGAGTGATAATTTTCAATTTTTCGATACCAAATATAGAAACATTATAAAAACAAATATTCGATATGAATATAATCACGTGCATAAACTTTATTTTTAATTTATGTTTATGACTAAACATCTTGCTCATGTTACGCCATTCAGATTATTACTTATTATTCAGGGCATTTGTAATACATTCAACTTGTTTAATTTGCAAATTTAGTAAAATTGAAATTGTGAATCGTAAGTCGAAACTTTCAAAAAAAAAAAAAAAAAAAAAAAGAAAAAATTGCGAAAAGTATCGATTTTTGTCAAATGGTATTGATCTTCATTAACTCTAATATAAAGTAAGCCTTTGCTAGAAACATTACTCTATATCTTGAAAATATTTGTACCTAATATTTGAAAAATCAAGAGCGGGTTTTCAAAATTATGTGAATTTCAATAGTAGATAGGCGGCAAAAAAATCGTGAATACTACCGTAGTGTTGCACACAGTTTATTGGTTTTATTAACAACGACGGAATTTAAATAGATTCAACGCAAATAAAGTATTGTCTCAACGTCGGCGCTCTATACGATCAAATGCGTTTATTTAATTTAATATTCGTTATCGTTACAATGAATGCAATTATTAAACTATCATTATTTCTTTTGGAACATAATATTCTAATCAAGCGAAATCCCACCTTTTTTATACTTAATACCCAGCAAGGACTAATTGTCCAGGAGCCTTTTGTCCACGATACACAATTGGCCTGATGGCATATTGGCATTGGCCTGGCCAATTGATCTACAAAACTCTAAATATATACAATTTTGGGACACAATGACCCGAACACAATTGAAACAAATATATTATTAATTATAGTGACAATGACGTATCTGATTTTTGTGATAGTGACTTATAAATGAAATTTTTTCTACAATAAATTATTTTAGAACGTACTATATTATACTATAAAAGCATAAGCTATACTTGTAAGCTTTGCTTGAATTCTTCGAATTAAATTTTCGAATTCCAAAAAGATAAAACGAATTTTGATACGATACAGAATTTTATAATAAATAGTAAGAATTTATTTTATTTTGATAGAAATGAAACTTTTAAGTGAGATTTTAGCAACGTCATACCTAGAAAAAGATCATGTAACCAAAGAAGATAAGGCGACACAAACAAGAAAATCAAGAAAATCATTTTCTTATGTTTTCTAACTTCATAATCCATTTTTTTTGTTACGATAGCGAGGGCGCTTATGAGCGCGATTGAGCGTAGGGGAAGGCCGTCATTATAGAGGTGCTGTCTTGTATAGTACGATTATAGAAAGTACCGAACCTTGCAATCTTGAAATCGTGAAGGCTACAAGGATTCGGACTGTTTTACAAAGGTAAGTTTGTAGTTAGCTTTTTTTTAAAAAATAAAACAAATTAAAGTACTAAAGTTATTCTACATTAAAATTTACCCTTCAATCATAGGTTCCAAGGTTCTAAGCTTCTGTATCGATAAGTAGCATTAGCGTTAAGCATATTACAAAGGCAAGTTATTTGTCATTTGTTGTAAGAGGGTAAAATACTTTTTGAACGCATTCATATTATGAAATAAACCATTTTTTTAATGTTTTTTAATAAAATAGAATAAAATAAAATTACTAACGAATGACTTACATACCTATCGATCCAATGTTCCAAGTTCCGTCCGATCTATCCGACGGATAATCTGATCTACGCCTTTTCGACTTCTCATTTGATCGGATTTGAATCGTATCTCCAGTCTATTAGTTTTCATCTAAATAAAGTCGTAACTAAATAAAGTAAAGTTTAACAGTTGCTTATTTTAATACAACTTTATTAAATTTTTAAGCATTATAAACATGCAAAGCAAAGAACGTATTGTAGTCTGTTGGTAAAATAGAAGTGTCATTTTGGTTCGTATTTCCTGTGCGTAAGACTTTTTAATACTACTATTCTTTATTACAACCGTATAATCGAGAAAATAAGAAACCTAACACCTTTGCTATCATGTTTGTAAAATTAAAAAGATTTTTTTCCCATATTTATAAAAAATTAAACTAGTTTTGAAATCTCGCAGAAAATTTTTTTTTTAACAGACGACAAATACATATCAAAGAAATCTTTATGAGACAAAGTTTTCAAAGACTTTAAGCAATATACACAATCTATTTCTGAAGGTAACTGTCATAATATTGATACAATAATTTGATGAATTAAATGTGAGCTGCTATGTAAATATCAATGATAAATTTATTAATTTTTTTAAATGAACTTTCTCAAAATAAATTTCATTAATTATATTGAGAAGCCGCTATAGAAAAATAAAAAGTTTTCAATTTTATGCAAAAATTAAAATACTGTAATTTGCAAGTTTAACGTAAGAATATCATACCTTTTAAAAAGAACCAAATAATAATACAAAGAATCACAAAGAATGAAATCATGCAGAATAACCCGTACCAATAGTCACTTCTGTTCATTAAGTTTTCAACTCTATCCATATCATCTTGTATGGTTTCTAAGGTCACCATCGGTTGTTCAGCATTCTCTCCCGCAGGGGGAATAGCGCGATTTCGGCGGGTAACATTTAATTGATTTACGTTCATCTAAAAAAAGTGTAAAGTTATTGGTTGAGACTTGTTATGTTATAACGACTTTTCAAGATTTAAAATATACGCAGGAATGTTAGTATTCATACTTTGATTATTTTGTTTAATAAATGTAAAGTGATTTTAAGAAAATACAAGGTTGATATAAAAAAAAAATGCGAGTAAGGTAGATATTTATATAGAAGCAGGCTTTTACTTTCTTGAAAGTTACATCAATTCGTCACGTCATATAAATTTATAAATAATACGTTACAATTATATATAATTTATATAATTATGTACGTAATAATCATGTATAACAAAGTTAATTCCGCATCCCTAATTATTTATGTTTCTTATCTCCTGTATGAGAATGCTCACCAGGTTATATACGAATTTTAATATCTAATTCTTATACATAAACCCACTTACGAAAGATATAATTTCTATTTTGTCAATTAATAAGACTGTTCCTTGAGCGGTATTATAACATCAAAGTATATTTTAGTATTTCAGAAATATTTACTAAACCGAAATGTGGCGCAGTAATATTTTAGACACTTTAAAAGATATTTTTAACGAACATGTTTATCATGTTTAATTATTACAATTATTTAAATGTTTTTTTTAATTATGATTCAAATATTAATTATTTTAAAAATTGATTTTAATGTTTAAAAAAAATGATTATTTTAAATGTCCGAATTTTTCTAAAAAATCAGCTCAAAATCGATCCGGACTGGTTCCCTATGACAGGGCAGTCTTCTAGATCCAATCATTTCCTTACAACAAATTTTATAAAGCTAACTTAATAATGACTAGGGAACGGGGACGGTTGTTAAGTCTGGCAAGTGTAATGAAAGTAACCAATCACGACTCCATATTTACATGCGGACATCTTGAGTTATACTGCTACTCCCCGACTAATAATGAGGGACCAAATGATGAATGGAGTAAAGAATATTACTTTATTTTTTGAAACTTCTTAGCAAATTACCGGTTTTGTAAATAATTTCTTTTCCTCTTTATTTAAAAAAATCTTTATTATTTCAGACGAAAACGATTTTGTAAAAAATTGTGTTATGATTTGTGAATTCTTATCTAATTATAACAGTTTTGATGTGTTATTTTTTAATATATTCTATAAACTGATTTAAAATAGGTTTTAAAGATGAAAATTGGCAGAGCTCTAAAAACAGCAAGCAGATATTTGGCTGCTAAAAATACTAAAGTCATTATTATCTTTATTTAAAGCTAAAAGTTCCTTAACCAGATTATTCGGGTAAAAAATATAAATAAAGTTTATGTTTAGGTTTATTTAACTTAACCTTCGATGTTACATGTGACTGCTCTTCATCAAGAGAAATTTCTTGAGCTATCGAAGAAGCTCTATTACTAAAGGTAAAGAATATATAATAATCGTCTGGATGTGTGTCAAAGGAAGGCTCACCATACATTGTTGAAAGCTAATAGTATAGGTTTATTTGAAAGTAAAGCTCCCACTGTAAGTCTCTAGGTAGGAAAAAATATTTTTTTTTGAGTAAATAACGTAACGCAAATGATGTGAATTAAAAGAAAATCTGATTATTTGATTAATTATTAACCTTGTAAGAATCCCACTAACTAGTTTGGACGACGTAATATAAAGAGCAAGGTGTCTGTAATAAAAAAAAAAAAAAAATAGTAAATTTAAAAAGGTTTGAATTTTTAGGCAAAAAAATTTAAAATAGACAATTTCTTAAGAACGAAACACGACTAATGTTAAAATGTCCCTAAACCTAAGTTAAAAATTGGCAATTTTAGCAACATCATACCTCCTCTTAAATAAACGATTAAAAATAATAATATTGCGAAAATTATTGTTATTACGACATTTATTAGTCGTAACGTATTTGTAGATTTCGCTTTTTCTTCTATCCCCAGCATCCTTTCATGTAAGGACCGTTTTGATAGTTGCTGGGGAGGTTGGGGGCGAGGACGGATGGGTTGATTTTGGTTGTTCATCTATAAAAAAATGTAACGTTTAACTTGTTAAAGTTCAAACTTTATTAAAAATAAAAAAAATCAACTTAAAAAACCAACTTTAAGCGGTGTAATATTAAACGTGTGCAAAAAAAAAAAATTTCTTCGTGAGATTTATCTCAACTTAAAACGTGAGATATATTATATGTATAAAAAAAATTCTGGAGAAAATTCAACTTATGCGCGATCATTCAGGAGATTTGTTTATAAAGGAAAAAAATTTTTTTATTAGGATAATTATAGTTTATATTCACGCAAAATTTGCATGATCTATTCAGGGAGGAGTCGGCACTTTCTATAATCGGATTGATTAAAAATTAAGGACTTGTATGATTGGTTGCTGTTGAGATCAGGAAGTCGATCAATGTGAACAAAATTTTTGTTGATCGATTTTTTAACACGTTCTTGTGAAATAAACTAGGAAATGGAAACTGTTATGAGTCTGAAGCGAAATTTTTTGCCTATTTTATCAAAATCTTACCTTACTTGATATTCGTAGAGTTGCAGTTGCAGTTTAGGGTTATATTAGTCAGAATTATTTTTAATACATAATAAAAATAATTCCAGAAAATCCGTACTGAACATTTATTATCTTTTATCAACTCATTCACCCACCTTAAGCTATGGAGGGCTAAAAGGTTATGTCCTAACTTAAGTGGTAGCACGACAAATCCAATTTTAGCAACTTATAGGTAAATTGAGAAAAAATTGAAGTAAAAAAGGAAATTGTGCATCAATATGTGGCTTAGATTTTTAAAATAGATTTAATCTGAATGCTGCTAAAGTTGCATACCGACTAAAGCTGTAGTACAATCAGTTCACCCTGCATAATAAGGGTTTAACCAAATGAGAACGGCCGATAATAATAATTTTAGAAAATTGAGCTCAATTTGTAACTTGGTTTTTCAGACGATCCAGTCTGATCTAAAATTGAACAGGGCTATCGTACCGGTTTTCCATATATTAGATCCATTCCCACTTTATTGCGACTGATATCAAGTTACACAATTTGAAATTTGAAATTAGTTTCAAGTTTAAAATATTTCGATACTCCAACCAGTTAAACTATATTAATTTTTTATGTTCCCCATTTACTAATTACCCAGTATCGCTATCGCCACAAGATTTTTCACCCACACGTGATTTAGTAAATCATTAAAATATTTGTCATCCGTGTCTGGGCACGAGAAAATTTTTTTCGGAGTAATATCATATTTGTCACTCCCTTATTACTGTTTTCACTCCCACGTGACATGAACAATTTGTCAGCTAAAAAATTTGCACTTATTTGGTCACAATTTAATTTCTTAATGCCATAATGTCGGCCAACGTCACGTGGTGTGAAAAATTTTGAGGCATTTCGTCCAATTTTGTATACGTATTTTATTCCGATACACACAAATTTGTGATCATAAATAAATGGACAAATTTTTTACTCTGGACTTACAATTCAATTGTTTTCATAACATTTATTGTAAAGCAAGCTACACTACATGCTGTAGTTGGGAAAAATATATATTGATAAAATTTTATTTGTCAATCTAGAATGTACTGACTGTACATAAATTAAGCTGCGAAAAAGTCGAATTTCCGGAAACGATCATCGACTTAATCGAATCGCCAAATAATGGCTCCTTTTTTGTGGATAGAACATAAACATATCATATTTCTTTTTTGATTCTACTAAGCTCCTTTATTTAATTCTAAGTTCTTTGGATATATTTACCATAGTTAATTAAAATTCACCTTTACAAAGAATTTTCGTAGGTATTATATAACTTGTGGAGACAAAAGTATTTTTTTAATAAAAAACGATGTTCAGTATATGTGATGTATGAAAATCATCACCAAAATATTTTTTGGTTAAAGTAATTACTAAATATATCAAAATTTTAACCCGAAAATTATGACATTAAAAATATGATGTACGTTCAATCTGTGGCTTGCCATAATTATGGATCGATCAATACACATCACATTTTTTAAATACAAAAAAAAAATTATGGTTGAATGAGCAATTTCTGGTTAATTTTTGGTTTAGTAGCAAAAAATATAATGTAATACATTTTATAAAACCTTTAAATGAAAATCATATTTATGCATTTGTATTCACAGCTTAAATTAGTTTACTTCATGTAAGAGAGTTCCTTGAAAGAGGTAGTTTGCTGTGTGCACCTTTCGTTGAAAGCAAATCCGAATTACCGTTCCAAAAATCATCAATAATAGCGTAGTTCTACATCAAATCCAACCCAATGCGCCCGGTGTCAATCCCGGACTATGTTGGCAAGTCCACGGAAAATATAACTTTGGAAATATGGATCTATCTATTGATATAGTTCGCAGATACCCTGAATAAACAATAAATGTAAAAGTAATTATTAATTAATGCCAATAATTAATTATTTATTTTACTCCCTATGATTACCTTTTTAGTTCCTCTATCGTTCCAATTTTTAGAAAATGAATTTAGCCATGTATTCATTTCTATTTCTGATGACCATGCACTACTAGCTACTGTATGAGTGCGTGATGACGCTAAGCTTATAGATCTGGGCTTATTGGATCTGTAGTGGCATATATCGTGTCAGAACTGGATGAACCATATGATTGATGGAATGTGATCGATTTTCCTCCTAAATAACTTCATTCATAAGGATAATTGTGTGGATTCGTATACATTATCACCATAACCTGTTATAAATTCAAAGTAAGCTGTACGTAAAACCATTGTTTTTTTCCATTCGGCTTGTGATGTTGCTAAAAAGAAGCTATATAGAATCACGTAATAATTGATTCGGTGAAAGGATACCAGCCTTTAAATTATCTTACAAACTTTGCTTTTGTGAAAGCATCATACGGACTCGTTTCAATTTTCCTATCTGTCACTGATAAAATCTACCATGAAGTTCTTGAAACTTAAGATGTGCCAAATTTTTAGCGACCGAGTACAAAAGGTTCCAATAAGACAGACAGTAAAGGATTTTCTCCAATCAAGCAAAATACAACTTTACCACAGTCGCATGAGAGGTCTGACTTTAATGTCAGGGTCCGAAAATGCAAACACGGGACGGGAAAGGATGGTTACCAAAATAAATTCTGTCCATGCTTTAGCGATTTTCTGTTAAAAGTTCATTCAATATTAAAATAATATCGTGAATTGTGGTCGGTTTATATCAAAGAAAAATATTATAATTTGAATTATATACTCACCTCTTGAATCATTTAAGCGTAGGCAGTTCTAAAGAATTATTTAGGTTCCTTTTATTTGTTTGTTTTATTTCTTAAAATAAATTTTGCTAAAAATTTATTCCCTCTTTATAAAGTGTATCATTTATGTTTTATTTTATTTCTTATAAAAAATATGCTGTACCCATTAGATATGTACGTCTTAAGTGAAAAAAAAGGAAGTTTTTTTTTTTTTTTTAGAAATAATTAATTTATCGTTTATTGGTTACGGATTTGGAGATAAATTAACACAGCCTGTGTCACATGTTCTAACGCTATTACATCATATCATAAACAATTGCACCATGGTTATATACAGTATATAAGTGGGTGAAATGTCTAAATGAAAAAAAAAAATTTTTTTTTTTTTGAAAAATACTGTAAACCCCACTCACGGTACGGCCGCCCTGAAAGCACGGATTATCCCTATTGTTAAAAAGTCACGTTATTTTCTTAATTTCATTGGAAAATAACCGGGCATGTTTCAAAGCTAACCAGGAGCACGGCATTCGGTGCTTAATTTAAGCCCTCATTTCATGGCACGGTGGTTAGCTTTGAAAAATGGGACTTTTTAACGGGATTCCGTGCTCCCCCTCCTAGTAGTTGTAAGTATGTTGTAAAGCTTAATAAGTCAGTTTTAATATGATCGCTTACTTAACCTTTATCCTTTATTTTAGATGGAACAAAATAACGAAAACATTCAACCTAGGGAAAGAACGACTCTTGAACGCCTAAATGAAAGAGCTGAAACGTTTGAAATGCGTGAACAGCGTAGAAGGGATAGTACAATATTTTGTACTGGGAATAAAGATGGTTTCCATAATTATTTTTAAAATTTTTAACTAGTTGCAACTTAAGTTGCAACTCTTTGAGTTGCAACTATTTATGTATTTTTATATTAAAATAAATTTACAAGGAGTTGCAACCAAGTTGCAACTTCTTAATTATGGTGCCCATCTTTAACTGGGACAGCTGTATACTTATGGTGGTATGTTATGGATCTTTTATTTTTGAAAAAATTGTAAATTTTTTTCTAAAAGTTAATTAAGTTCTTTAATATAGGTATCTACAATACTAATGAACAGGAACCGTTGTAAGTGTAACGAAAGTAACCAATCACGTATCGACTCAATTTTTGTCCGGAAATTGTCACGTGATCAAAAACCTATCAATGTTCTTATACCCTAAAATTTAATAGTCGCTCTGGATA